TGGGGCGAAGGCCCAACGCTCCGACAGCAGTGGGAGTCACAAGGACCAAGAGACCAGCAGCAAGTTGGTGGACAGCACAGATGACCCTAACATCTTCAATACCCATGGACCTGAGTCAAAGACATCAGGAGAAAAAGTTTGTAAAAATAAAGACTTTAATTTCTTACCTCCTGACTCCTGAGCTGATTCTGCATGTCTTGGGTTAAACGCCTTCCACAAGCCATGACAGCTTGTATATGTAAGGTTTTTCTATAGGAGCGTCCAATAGAGAGTGTGAGGGGCCACAGATCTGCCCCGCAAAGATGCATAGGAGATGGAGGGAGCTCCAAGTCCCAGAGATCCTGGAGCTGTACCAGAGCACAGGGACCCCAGAGAGACTATAATCAGAACAGCCCCAGACCCTTCTCGAGAAGCGCAGAGGATTGCCCTGGGGGGTCACAACCAGCAGCCGGGAGATATCAGCGGCAAGCCTACAGGCCCGCCCGCAGCCTCCCACCCCTAAGCTAGCTGAGCCCGGAACCCAGCGACTCGGGACCCAGGGGCCACCAGCCCCGCTGGGGACCCAACAGAGCCCAGGGACTCAGATCCCACCAGGCAGTCACCAGGATTGATCAGGCAGACTCCAAAAATCTTAAACCCCCTGACCCGGGAGCCGCAAACACTCAGGCAACCAAGGCACCACACTCCACGCCAAATGTGGCAGGGGGAGAGTAGGCGAAGATGCGTAGCAGCACAAGACCTGACATATACAGCCATACACAGACACAGTCACGCACTCCCTCCCTCACGTTCCCACATACACATACAACCTAAGACTTACAGAAATGAATGCTAGACACCCACTCACGCTCCCCATAAACACCCTATTCACTCTGGTCCCGGTACTGATGCACAACGGAAACAACCATCAACCGGTTCCCAGAGTTTGCCCCTTTCTGCTGGGGGTGATGATGAGCAAACTCATTTTATGGGGGAAACCCTGGAGTGACTATTCGGATTTCAAAACAAACAAGTATTACATGGCTTCTCAGTGAACTAGACCTTTAAACATGTTGGTGAACACAAAAGGTCATATTTAAAATGAACAACCACAATGCCACATTCACAAACAGTCCTACTGTACTTGTGACTGTTAGTGGTGATCGCCACTGTTAGTCACAAACAAGCTCAAAGAGATGAATGAAACCTACACAACAGATGCACTTATTACTTATCAGTACAGTGCACTGTTGCACATTACATTATCATGAAATCAAACAATGCGAATTTCAAATAAAAAAAAGTCTAACACAAATACCTGCAACCATGTTCAAGGAAGGGAAAGAAAGCCCCGTAAACACACAGAACACTTCTAATGACAAAACTCGCCCCGATGTCGTGGATTCTCGCACGACTGGAAAATCGGCTCAAAACAGTGAAAAAGTCGCACAGAGTACGCCCGGCTTTATAGAGCCAGGATGAGCAACACCTCCTGTACCAGCCAAACGGCCCTCTTCTGAGATCTCCTCCAACACAGCAGCAGGTGCGTCACAACCACACGCCCCTTTGACCAGGTCATGACACTCCGACCCAGCTCATTAAAAGCTTAATGTCCTTAAAACCGTCATTCAGGAGTTAAAATAGACTGACTTGTTTATCTTATCAATAATAAGGGAAAAAAGGCTCAGATTGTGAATATTTAAGGTTTTAAATACCATGCAGGTTACAGACTACAGAGGTCATGTATGACTGAAGCAGCCATGTCAGTCGTGTAAAGTAAAACTAAAATGACACACTGGTGCATTTTCTGACTTCCCTTCTGTTCAGTCACATAAATTAAGTGAAACAACCTGTGTAGGAGAAGCAAAACTTCACAATATATCGGTTCCTGTTCCCTTTGTTGATAAGAACTGTTCTACTGTGCATCTGTTAATCATTTGTGTGCCTCCCATTTCAACACTAATGTACAGTTTTGCTGAAATGTTTAAGGCCATTCTGTTCTGCACACTTAACAGCAGGTTTCTAGACTTCTACATCGGTTTATGTGTTTTCTCATCAGCAGATTTTGCAACCTGAGCTCAATTGAGACCATTATTGTCTCACTCTGTAGTTTAAGTGCTAAATCTCAGAATCAATGCAAACACACTGATTCAGGATTGGCAGGCAGTTTGAAAGAATAACCACACAAGGTGTGTGTGTTGGTGTAAATACCTGGGTGTTTCCAATAAAACGGGTTCCTAATGGGATCAGTGACCACATAGTTCAAACCCAAGGTGTAATCTTCTCTTACACTGCTCTGCTGACTGAACAATGAACATTATGTAATGCAAACGAAAGTTGACCCCATATTTGGAACCTAATGCCTCTAAATCAAGGCAAAACAAATGATAACATGAAGGTGATGAGATAATAAACAAAGGGAAGTTGTTATTATTATCATTTTTGTTATTATATTTAGAAAAAGTCAATGTGTCTTTTAGGTTCTTGTAGTTAAATGTGAAGACAGTTTGTGGTTTCAGTGGCAGCTCAGAGCCAGAACCCCACCTAGCACCAGTTATTTGTGTCTCAACAGCTTTTCTAAAACTCTGGCTCCAGCCCAGAGAAACTAAATAACGGTGCTATGATAGTGTGACCTTGATTCAGCATGTGGCATCTGCTTCTACAGCACCTGTGTCTCTTAATGCAAAGAGAGATATGACAAAACTCCGATCATGAGGCAACCCGCTCTACCACCTGAACTACTGCTGCCCCAAATGTTTAACACTGTGGTTTCTGTGAATTATCTGGGAGCCATATGCAGTCATCAAAAGAGCCGCATACGGTAGGTTCCCTACCCTTGACTCAGATGATTTTTACTATCTTTTATATATTGCCATTGCCATCGGGCAATACTCCACTTTAGTAGAGACGATTTAAAGTCAGGCACTTCGGCAGGCAGCCCAGAGCAGCTGCTGAATTTGATTTAAATATATATTTACTTTCCTGAAAAACACCTGCTTAATAAATTTTGGAAAATTATTTTCAGCTGACATTTCTTTATATTTATCCATTTAATTTTTAATACTTGATCAGCTTACTGATTTGTTTCAGTACGTTTGGTTAAATGTTTGACTAAGCAGTGCACAAAATTCAGATTTATCCAACAGTTGGATAACTTTAGGTTCAAAATTTGATCCACTGTTATTATTAGTATGCAATAAGGTGGAAAATGTTTACATATCTGCAATGAAAATCGCCTCCCAAAAAATCGACATCACATATCGGCCATCGGATGACAATGACCTCTACAAATTGGAATCTGTATTAGCATTAGAAAAACCCATATCAGTCAGTTTCTAATTAGCGGTCATAAATGATGAGTTCAATGACCCCAAAACACTCAGATTTTGGAGTTTTATCAATTAAACTGATCATCAAGCAAGTTATTTTTGTGCATCTCTAGTTTAAATATGAAACATTGTGATGGATAAATAATAGGGATGGCCAATATATTGCCATCAATATTGGTATCGGCCGATGTTAGTCATTTTTTGACACATCGGTATCGGTCCGATTACAAAAAACGGGCCGATACTATCAACCAATGTTTTTTCCATCTTGTCACCATTTTTTTGCCTGTTTCAGAGGGTGAGGGGGGTGACATGTATTTGTTTAGTCATGTCACAGTGATTGTAAAGCGTAAATGTGTGTGGTGTGTGTACATAATAATGTAAATTCAGCTTTAATCATTTTTATTCTATACAAAATCTGCTGATTTTAGATGCATTAACGTCAGTATATCGGTATCTGCAAATATCTGTTATCGGCCATAACAGTGATCTTAATATTGGATATCGATATTGGCCCAAAATTTTCATATCGGTGCATCACTAATAAATAATATAAATTGTTTAGATGGAAAAACAAATATATGGTTTTTCTAAGAAAAAACATTCACAAATGAACACATGGTACTGAGCAAATAAACATTGCACAGAAAAACAAACAAAAAGATTAACTATAAAAACCAATTAGTCGAGACACAGGTTCACACAAATTCATTTAGAGGATAATTGAGTTGTTTACACGATAATGCAGTGGAGAGTTGTTAAAACTATAATTAATCACCTGGGGAAACAGGTAACTGATTAAAAATAAACACAAATAGACGTGAATCTGATAGGTTATGTTGTTAATGGGGGAAAAAACTAAGCTATTATTAATCAATACATTTCTCAAAGAATATGTTAGTAAATATGGTCCAAAACAGCGATTTAAGTTATTATAACATCTTATGGAGTAAAAGAAAAGAAAAGTGTTTTTAATAAAGGTTTTAGGTTATTTTTGAGATGTATTATTGATGTTTTTAGTGGGATTCACCAGATGCTTAATAAATGAGTATCAAGCAACACGAACAGGAACAACTTTAACGTAAGAAGTTATTGAGTCTGAATAATAAACACGCATCAGTCAGGGTTTATAATCGGGGCCTTGACGTGATTTTGTTGTGTTCTTACAACATAAGATTTCTGACAGTGTGTTGGTTCGTTGTTGTTATCCCAGCTAAATCAGCCACATTAAACCGTTTGAATCAGGTCTAATGTCTTTAACCTGCAGCCCCCCAAAGGGGGACGCCACAACTGTCAAACGGGAAACGTCAACAACGCTTTGAAGCTTTGCAGCCAGCCGACCTTAAATCCTGACTTAGCTAGCTCCGGTGTTCGTTCACTGGCATTCTGGAGCTAATGTTCTCTGAAATGTTGTGTCATTAAAACGACTCGGTGCTGCAAAGCCCCGCGTTGTCCGGGACGGAAAACGGGCACCATGAGCTGACTGAGGCGGTCCAGCTTTCAGCTAGCAGCGCAGGTACAGTGGACAAACAAAAACACGGACGTTATTACCTTCAGCGGGTCTCCCCGAGGCCCTTCAGAGGACAACCGTCGGGAGAGAGGTTCACCTGGGGCTTTTGTGTGTTCCAGTTAACACGGAGGCGTCTAATGTCGCACAGTGGCGGTTTAATTGACGAAATGTAGCACCTTGTGAGGCGCTGACGCCGTTATTACACCTCAGTGACGTGGAGTGTCCTACCTCCTTCCGTATTGCAGCCAGCGACGCTGGATGTATGGCAGGCCGTTGTGGTATAAAATCACTCTGCACTTGTGTGTAATTACGCTTCTGTGAATCAGTAATAGCTTTTCTCAGTCACGCAACCTGCATAGAATATATTCCACGTGCTCATCTCAACCTAGGAAAAATAAAAATTAATATTTCAGACTCCATGAAGAGCTTTTAAAATCCTAATTCCAGAAGTTACATTACCTAATTCCAGAAGTTACATTATAATATTCTAAAGTTCAAATTTTTACTAGAAGAATCAGAATATTTTTATTTATATGCATATCTAAAAAGATTACTTTTAACAAGAGGGTTCAACTGCGGAAATGTTGATTTCTAATTTGTTTCATTATCTTTTTGTCAGTATGTTATGGGTCAAGCCGGGTCATGAGGTTATGAAACCCATCTTCACAGTTCTGGTTTGGGCTTCATAACCCCATGACCCTGACACATAAGAGACTGACAAAAGATTAAGCTTCTCCGATGGTGAGACCCCAAGGCTTTCTCAGGTCGGCCTGTATGAACCCTCCAGCGTGTCCTGGGTCAACCAGAGGACCTTCTGCTGGCTGAAACACGTCCTCTGTGTGGTGTCCAGAGAAGGATAAACATACAAATGGCCCAAAAACCTCAGCTTGCTCCATTGAAATAAAAGAGCTAGCGGTTCTATTTGAATATCCTGGAAGTCTAAGCTCTTTGTGGAATATATGATGTTATTTGTTTGGGTAAGATTAGATAAAAAATGTTGACTCTGCCTGGGGAACAAATCATGTTGCATATCTGCAGGGCCGTTTCTAGCATTGTGGGGGCCCTATGCAGGATAATGTTCTGGGCCCCCCTATTTTGACAAACTGCAATTGATGATCTATAAACACACCATGAATTGTCACAAATTGCAAGCAAAACGTGGTACAGTATTAAAATTAAATACCTAAGAAATATAACTAACTAATAAAAACTAGAAAGCAGTCAGAGTGCAGACCTCCACCCTGGGAGGGTTCACATCACACACACACACACACACACCATAATAAAGGGGCTAAGTGAAAGTGAACAAGTACAACAACAATAAAGGTTCCTGTATCAAGACAGTGGTCAAGATCACAATCTTTCTGATGGTCTGAGATTTAATTATTTTAAGTATAACTCTGGTTTTATTCATCTGTTAACATTTAAAGCTGGTGTGTGGTTTATAATTGGGATTTTAAACCAAAACAGAATGTTATAACTGTAATTAAAAAAGCATTTTTTCTTCAGAAATTTCTCAATAGAAAATGTAAATATACATGAACAAAAAATCTGAAATAGCAGAAATCAAGCATAACATGTATTACAACCTTGTATTGATTTATTTATATGTACAACTTTCAGAGTTTCCATAGATATTGTCTGTCAATGTTCAGGTGTTTTAGCTGTTGTGGTATTCTGCAGAACAGTTCTTGTCCTGCTGCAGACTTTACTTTTTCTTGCACTCGTTGCACATCCAAGGAGTGTTTTTTATTTTTTATTTTTTTGCACAGAGTGCACCTGTTTCACCCCTGACCTGCCCTCTGTGCTTGTCCATTCCTTCTCCACTGGTCCAGGGGACAGGGATGGGACCTTGAGCGGAGGTCACTGGAGGGTTTTCATCTTGTGCACACTGCTGCTCCTGAAATGGTTGATGTCTCCTGGCCTCGTTCTGCTGCTTGTTGCTGATTTGTTTGTGGAGCTGGTGGTGAGAGGCAGCTGATAGCCAGAGGTCCTTCTGGGGATAAATCTGGGTGTCGTGGGTCGGCGGCACCTGGGTCTGACTTTGTTGTCCAGGAGTCCAGAAGATGTGTAGCATCTCCAGCAGCATCCTGTCTCTGACATTGTCTATTGCTGGTGATGGTGGATGGCTCTTCATCAGAAGAATCTCTAAAATTATAAACACATCAGATTTTATAAATTATACTGAAGTAGTAAATACTAGAAATGAAAACTGTAAAAAAAAAATACAGAACTAAAACTAGAAATACATTTGAACTGTAGATGAACTTACTGCAGCTGCGATGGCACATCATATTCATCCACACCTGAATACTCAACCACAGATGTACACTGACCTTTTGTTTTCCTGGGAGTAGCAGTAATAGTATATAATAGTATAGTAATAGTATTAGCAGAAATACTAGACAATAGAAACTGGAACGGGTTTAGTGCAGAGATACTTACTGCATTTGGGATGGAAAAATGATAAATGATAAATGATCCGCACTTGTATAGCGCCTCTCAGAGTAAGGACTCCAAAGCGCTTTACACTACAGTGTATCATTCATCCATTCACACACACATTCACACACCGACGGTGATGAGCTACGATGTAGCCACAGCTGCCCTGGGGCGCGCTGACAGAGGCGAGGCTGCCGAGCACAGGCGCCACCGGTCCCTCCGACCACCACCAGCAGGCAAGGTGGGTTAAGTGTCTTGCCCAAGGACACAACAGCAGAATTCTCTGTCAGAGCCGGGATTGAACATGCAACCTTCCGATTACTGGACAACACGCTCAACCTGTTGAGCTACTGCTGCCCAGAAAAACAATGTGGGCACATCTTGCTCCTCATCAACAACTTTTGAGGGAAGTTTCCTCTTTCTAGAAGGTTTCCTGGTTTCTGGTTTATTTACAAAAACAAATCTAACGTATAAAATAATAAAAAGCCTCAGTAAAAAAAAAACGCAGCTGAAAAAAGACAAAACTACGGGTGACCGAACGAGTACAAAAAACGGCAAAGCAATGTCAAATATGACCAAATATAATCTAAAATTACTAAATAAAAACATGAAGTAGGAAATTTACTGAAAAGTATTATTATTTACACCAGTAGAAGAGATAGACGTTGAAAATACGCGTCCAAAACAATTCCTCCGCTCCCCTATGAGCACGGCACAAACTGTTGAAGAGTTTCGGTAAAGTATGAAAGCCAGTTTGTGTCGCTATTGATACAACCACGACAGCTTTGGGGGCCCTTAGTGGCTTGGAGGCCCTATGCAACAGCATATGTTGCACACGGTTGCACATAGGAAGAAACGACCATGCATATATGTTTGTTTTTTACTAGAAACAATTGAAGAACAGATGTGTGCTTAATAGTCTCAGTCTTCCTATTAAAATATATATTAGCTTGCCATACAGTTTCTAATCCTCCATGCTTCATATCAGCATCCTTCAGCCAGTGGAAATGTGGAGGAGTCACCCAATTTTCATCCATCCATCCATCCATCCATTTTATATATATATATATATATATACTCACATACATACATACATCCATTTTCATCAGCTTATCAGGAGTTGGGTCGCGGGGGCAGTAGCCTAAGGCGAGAGGCCCAGACTTCCCTCTCCCCAGCCACTTGGGCCAGCTCCACCGGGGAGAATCCCAAGGCATTCCCTGGCCAGGTGAGAGACATAGTCCCGTCACCGTGTCCTGGGTCTACCTTTAGGTCTCCTCCCGGTTGGACGTGCCCGGAAAACTTGACCAGAGAGGCGTCCAGGAGGCATCCTGACCAGATGCCCGAGCCACCTCAACTGGCTCCTCTCGATGTGGAGGAGCAGCGGGTCTACTCTGAGCCCCTCCCAAATGACCGAGCTTCTCACCCTATCTCACCCTAGAGCCCAGCCACTCTTCGGAGAAAACTCATTTCGGCCGCTTGTATCCGCGATCTCGTTCTTTCGGTCACTAATCAAAGCTCATGACCATAGGTGAGGGTAGGAACGTAGATCGACCGGTAAATCGAGAGCTTCGCCTTCTGACTCAGCTCTCTCTTCTACATGACAGACCGGTACAATGCCCGCATCACTGCAGATGCAGCACCAATCCGCCTATCGACCTCACGCTCCAGCTTTCCCTCACTTGTGAACAAGACCCCGATATATATATATGTATATATACAGGTGCTGGCCAGTAAATTAGAATATCATCAAAAGGTTGAAAATATTTCAGTAATTCCATTCAAAACGTGAAACTTGTACATTATATTCATGCAATGCACACAGACCAATGTATTTCCGATGTTTATTACGTTTAATTTTGATATTTATAGGTGACAACCAATGAAAACATCAAATCTGGTATCTCAGAAAATTAGAATATTCTAAAGGCCAATGAAAAAATGTTTGTTTCTCTAATGTTGGCCAACTGAAAAGAATGAACATGAAAAGAATGTGCATGTATAGCACTCAATACTTAGTCGGGGCTCCTTTTGCCTCAATAACTGCAGTAATGCGGCGTGGCATGGACTCGATCAGTCTGTGGCACTGCTCAGGTGTTATGAGAGCCCAGGTTGCTCTGATAGTCGTCTTCAGCTCCTCTGCATTGTTGGGTCTAGCGTATTGCATCCTCCGCTTCACAATACCCCATAGATTTTCTATGGGGTTAAGGTCAGGCGAGTTTGCTGGCCAATCAAGGACAGGGATACCATGGTCCTTGAACCAGGTGCTGGTGGTTTTGGCACTGTGTGCAGGTGCCAAGTCCTGTTGAAAGGTGAAGTCTGCATCCCCATAAAGTTGGTCAGCAGCAGGAAGCATGAAGTGCTCTAAAACTTCCTGGTAGACGGCTGCATTGACCCTGGACCTCAGGAAACAGAGTGGGCCAACACCGGCAGATGACATGGCACCCCACACCATCACTGACGGTGGAAACTTTACACTGGACCTCATGCAACGTGGATTCTGTGCTTCTCCGCTCTTCCTCCAGACTCTGGGTCCTTGATTTCCAAAGGAAATGCAGAACTTGCTTTCATCAGAAAACATAACTTTGGACCACTCAGCATCAGTCCAGTCCTTTTTGTCCTTGGCCCAGGCGAGACGCTTCTTGCGCTGTTTCATGTTCAAGAGTGGCTTGACACACGGAATGCGACACCTGAATCCCATGTCTTTCATGAGTCTCCTCGTGGTGGTTCTTGAAGCGCTGACTCCAGCTGCAGTCCACTCTTTGTGGATCTCCCCCACATTTTTGAATGGGTTTGTCGTCACAATTCTCTGCAGGGTGCGGTTATCCCTAGAGCTTGTACACTTTTTTCTACCACATTTTTTCCGTCCCTTCGCCTGTCTGTTAATGTGCTTGGACACAGAGCTCTGCGAACAGCCAGCTTCTTTAGCAATCACCTTTTGTGTCTTGCCCTCCTTGTGCAAGGTGTCAATGATTGTCTTTTGGACAACTGTTAAGTCAGAAGTCTTCCCCATGATTGTGGTGCCTTCAAAACAAGACTGAGGGACCTTTTAAAGGCCTTTGCAGGTGTTTTGAGTAAATCAGCTGATTAGAGTGGCAGCAGGTGTCTTCTATATTCAGCCTTTTCAGAATATTCTAATTTTTTGAGATACCAAATTTGGAGTTTTCATTAGTTGTCACTTATGAATATCAAATTTAAATGTAATGAACATTGGAAATACATTGGTCTGTGTGCATTGCATGAATATAATGTACAAGTTTCACGTTTTGAATGGAATTACTGAAATATTTTCAACCTTTTGATGATATTCTAATTTACTGGCCAGCACCTGTATGTATATATACATATATATATATATATATATATATATATATATATATATATATATATATATATATGTATATACATATGTGTGTGTGTATGTATATATACATGTATACATACACATATATACACATGGCACATGGAATTCACATGGCAGGATTTTTAAAGAATTTATTTGTAAATCAGGGTGGAAAATAAGTATTTGGTCACTTCAAACAAGGAAAATCTCTGGCTCTCACAGACCTGTAACGTCTTCTTTAAGAAGCTTGTCTGTCCTCCACTCGTTACCTGGATTAATGGCACTTGTTTGAACTCATTATCTGTATAAAAGACACCTGTCCACAGCCTCAAACAGTCAGACTCCAAACTCCACTATGGCCAAGACCAAAGAGCTTTCGAAAGGCACCAGGAAAAGAATTGTAGACCTACACCAGACTGGGAAGAGTGAATCTACAATAGGCAAGCAGCTTGGTGTGAAAAAAATCAACTGTGGGAGCAATTATCAGAAAATGGAAGACATACAAGACCACTGATAGTCTCCCTCAATCTGGGGCTCCATGCAAGATCTCATCCCGTGGGGTCAAAATGATCATGAGAACGGTGAGCAAGATTCCCAGAACCACACGGGGGGACCTGGTGAATGACCTGCAGAGAGTTGGGACCACAGTAACAAAGGTCACCATCAGTAACACACTACAACGGCAGGGAATCAAATCCTGCAGTGCCAGACGTGTTCCGCTGCTGAAGCCAGTGCATGTCCAGGCCCGTCTGAAGTTTGCCATAGAGCACATGGATGATCCAGCGGTGGATTGGGAGAATGTCATGTGGTCAGATGAAACCAAAGTAGAACTTTTTGGTATAAACTCAACTCGTCGTGTTTGGAGGAAGAAGAATACTGAGTTGCATCCCAAGAATACCATACCTACTGTGAAGCATGGGGGTGGGAACATCATGCTTTGGGGCTGTTTTTCTGCTAAGGGGACAGGACGACTGATCCGTGTTAAGGACAGAATGAATGGGGCCATGTATCGTGAGATTCTGAGCAGAAACCTCCTTCCATCAGTGAGAGCTTTGAAGATGAAACGTGACTGGGTCTTCCAACATGACAATGATCCCAAACACAGCGGCCGGGCAACAAAGGAGTGGCTCCGTAAGAAGCATTTGAAAGTCCTGGAGTGGCCTAGCCAGTCTCCAGTCCAGACCATAACCCCATAGAAAATCTGTGGAGGGAGTTGAAAGTCTGTGTTGCTCGGCGACAGCCCCAAAATATCACTGCTCTCGAGAAGATCTGCATGGAGGAATGGGCCAAAATACCAGCTACTGTGTGTGCAAACCTGGTAAAGACCTATAGTAATCGTTTGACCTCTACCAACAAAGGTTATGTTACAAAGTATTGAGTTGAATTTTTGTTATTGACCAAATACTTATTTTCCATCCTGATTTACAAATAAATTCTTTAAAAATCCTGCCATGTGAATTCATGGATTTTTTTTTTCACATTCTGTCTCACAGTTGAAGTGTACCTATGATGAAAATTTCTGACCTCTGTCATCATTTTAAGTGGGAGAACTTGCACAATCGGTGGCTGACTAAATACTTTTTCCCCACTGTATATACATATACATATATATACACATACACATTGTGTATATATACAATGTGTATATATACATCCAATCTCCTTGGGGATATATATGTATACATGTTAATTGGCCAGCGGGGGGGAGGGGGGTATAAATCCACTGACATTTAACTGTTCTGAGTCAAACAATAGTTTAGAGCATGAAGAGAGATGGAAACTAAAAGCCATATCATGACCACTAATATTAGTGATTATTGTAAGGTTTTTGTTGGGGGTGGGGGTCGGGTTTAAAGGATTTTATAAAAATGTTACCAGTTCATAACCATCAAATTGCCTTTATTTAAATGAACACTTTTTGGCAAAAGAGAACACACCAAGATACAGAATCTTTTTTTAAGCTTTATTTTTTACCAAAACCCTACACAGCAAAGCAAAAAAATACACAGCCTTTCCTTGACCCAGAGAGGGAGACAAAATACAATTTCCACATCTTTACACAGAAATCCACCAAGACACACTCAGAGACAAACAGGTTTTAACGTTCCACCCCATCCAGGAAAAAGCTCATTTTAAAAACACGCAGACCAGCCTTTAAACAGTGCAAATTTATATTAAAGGCCTTAGTGTACTCTCTTCAGTCCAACAGCCCATTTAATATTGCACACAAACAATTGTTAATCGCACATGCTATTGATTTCTAAAGTGCTAGCTTGTAATTAGATTGCTACCAAATTCATGACTGAAGCAGAATATAGATTTAAATTTAGAGTCCTATTGATTCAAGCCTTTTAGTGAGAACATGCTAGTGTGACTCGACATTTATATAAAAGAACATTCAGCCGTTTTGTTATGCAGTTCAGGGAATACATTCTGTGCAGAAATTAAGCTGAACTAATTCTTAAATGCATAGATGTTCGAGAGGACAATGTGATTTTTAGACAGGAATCAGGTCTGTGAGGACAGTCAAACAACATATGTAGGCTACACTGTCACAGTAAATATTTTGAAATTGGAAGGAAAAAAAATGTTTGCAGTAAAAATACGAGTACGTTTATTACTACACGTGTCAACAAAAACATTTTTAATCATCGCCACGAAAATGAGGAACCAAATGTTGCTCCATTTGAAAACTTCCCTTGACAAAGGCAGCTGAACATCTACTTACAGTATTTCCCATCAATAATGATCCACAAGCACACGCCAACTAAAATATTTAAGATGTACTTTATTTCACTGAAAATAGGTTTTTGGGTATCATGAACATGGAATTTAAAATCAAAAAGGATTTCCAGGATCCAACGTTAAAAACAAATCAAACCCAAGTTTCTGTCAGGAGAGGAGCAGTAGTTTAGGTTTTCCAGGGCTGACTGATAGAGGTAGGTAGTATTAGGCCCAAATCAGGGCCGGAAACCTGAGAAAACACACACGACCGTTACCCTAACCCTCCAGAAAAAATAAGGAAAGTAGAAATTTACAAAAAATGATAACACGTGCAGGCACATTTAGATTATATCACATTAAAAACAGCAAGAAATACATCCCTTAACAAAAAGTCCATTAAGAATTCCACATTATGTGTTGCTTCTCCATACAGGTTTAGGTAAGGTGCCAACATGCTACACCCACATGTGTGAGGTGGTCTTAACAGCAGAAGGTATCGTTTTTGTGATAGCACTTTCTGAAGGAACATGAAAAATGGTGGGTGAGGCCACAGAGCTGTTTGTGTTGCACTTGAGTCAGCACCAGAGCCACAGCACTTTGGCTAGTTGTGATTCGACAGCTGTGAGAGAGACAGGCGCGTGGTGCCGAACGTTAACGCGAGTGATTCTGCAGATGAGTGAGAAGCTTCTTCCGTTTTTTGTAAATGCAAAATAAAAAAAATAAAAACGTGCCGATTCTTGTTTTAGCATTTAAAAACCAAACTACGTTTGTGCAAAAACCATCGTTTTAGCCTTGTTCACACTTTAGCTAAAGAACTCTGATCATTTCCATGAGGGGGGGAAAAGGCACAAAAGGTTTAAGCTTCAAAAGTAGCTACAACCTCCTCAGACCCGCCGATGTTACATCTACACCTGTGCTGCTACCTTCAGACAAGTCAGAGCCAAAAAAACTAAATTATCACCGAAAATGTAAGTATGCATCACCATGAACCTGGTAAAAACCAACGGTTTTGTGTTAAAATGATTAAAAATGACTGCAGAGCCGTTTCTGCATCAATAGCTGATCCCAGCGGGGTTTTAAAAGCAGATTAAGCTAACATACCGAGACTTTGGTACGCAGAAAGGTCTGTTTAGATCCATACCTCCGTATGTGGAGAGCTACTCAGACCAGTTATCACTCTGGGGGGGGTAGGATAACATTCCAATCTAAAAAAACAAAATTCACCCTGTTAGAGAAAACATCTGTTCCGATAAGATTAAACCAATTCCAGTCCTGCAGGACCAAAATGCTCCATCCCTCCTCAGAAGAAGAGCTTCTTCGTGCTGAACTCCTCCAACTGAACCTTCCCGCTGCCCATGAGGCCAAAAGCAGGATACATGGTTCCTGAACAGTCCACCTGCCTCTCATAAAGGCACCGCATGGTGTCGGCGTCGTAAAAATACACGCGGTGCGCGTCGTAATCCAGGCACACGCCTATGCGCTGCGGCATGGGAAGCATGCGGTTTCCGGGGTCACCGGATGACGTGTTTGCGCTGGAAACAGAGGAGGAGGAGGAGGCCTTGGGGATGAAGAGTTTCCCCATTCCCAGTGTGAGGAGGGTGAAGGGCTGAGAGAGCTCGTAGCACGTGTCCTCGCTGCCGCTGTCATGCCCGCTGTCATGATCGTACCTGATGGGAAAATGTTGGACAAATAATGATCCTCTGAGTTTATCATTAAATTTGATAGATTTGTTGATATCAAGTCTAAAAAGGTACGAATAAGTCTATTAAACAAAAGAATAAACCTATTTAATATAACAAGAGCTGGACGCTGCCTGGTGATGATCATCTTATGCAATTAGCACAGATTTAACGTTTATCTGTGAAAATCAGGCGCTCCGCTGCGTACTTCAACAAGCGTTGATCCGGTGAGAAAGGTGTGCTTTGTCTGTGAATAAGCTCCTAATGAGTTCATGCAGCTCCTCTTGCATCACAACAGGATTAGGTGCAACTCAGTTTTGGTTTATAGACACTGCCTTGGTGCGTTGTTATGAAAAGGCGTTTTCCAGATGCTGAACGTACCTCGGGCTGCTGGTATCTCTGGGATTGTGAAACCATTCCAGCAGTTTGGTGTCAGAAGCAACTCCAACTTTAACCATATAGGAGTACGGTTCCACCTTAAAGGCCCAGTAATGTCTGCAGAAACGGTAACAGCAGGTGGATTAGATTCCTGCAAAGAGCTGAACAAGTTTCTTTTTCTAAATTGCCCACGCCGAGGCTGATGCGTACCTTCCCTGAGAGATGCCAGTGTCCCCAATGATGTAATCCAGTCCGACGTAGCTGCCCGTCTGCACACGTTCTGCAGCGAGGAGGAAGGTCAAGCCTGCCACGCTCTCCACCATGTCCCGTCGGCTATTTAGTACAAGACGCTCGTTGCTGAACCCACACTTGTCGCTGAACAGGAAGCCAAAAGCTTCATGTGGAAAACCAAAAAGGCAGATTGTTAATTTTTTCTGAACAAATCAGATAATTCTAAGAAAGAAACATTAAAAAAAAAAACTTAAGATGTCAGTTGAGGCATACCTGAATAGATTTATTACAAAAGCTGACACAGGAGGGCGCTATTACACAACAGAAAACAAACTGGCTCAAACAGGCAAACCTCATTTCCAGCTTCATTGAGCATCTCGTTTGAAATTAACCACATTCTATTAATAGTTCCGGGGCTAAAGGCTATGATTATCATAATCCAGGAGCCACATCGCCACGATTACTCAAGCTCATCCAGCCAACCCCCTGCAATCTTTAGTCTACTCTGGGTAAAACCTGCTCATTTGCATGCTTCAAGGAAAGTCCTGTTATCAGCTAGGGCATGAAAATGATAACAGCACAAATCCTGCTGGGGGGGGGGGGGACGCAGCTTTCATCTTACTGTTGGACTGCAAAGGTCCCAACAACCATCATCTCATGAAAATATTCATTAAGTTTTATTTATGCAGTTTCAGCACTTAAAACTAGCTAAACCTTTTTTTTAAATGCACAGCCATACTTGGTTACTTGCTTTATTTTTATTGTTAAATGCACCAATAAAAAGACCCAGAGGTGATTATTGCACCATTTGTTTACCTCCAAGTCTACAGCCGTATTAAATGAATTTTAAATCCCCACTTCAGTCACCATACATGATTACTAAATCCTCTGCAGCACCAAAACTAGAAAAGCATTGTTTAAACGTGAAAGCAATTCCAAGCAAACCCTCAAAAAAGAAAATATGTGAAGAAAGAAGGTCCAGGCTGCAGGAAGTCATATGAAGTCGGTCAAAAGTGACCTTATAACTAAAATGTTTACAGTGCATTTCAATATGTTGAGACTAAATCAGCAAAACGGCTCAAAGCATGGGTAGCTTTATGGTTACCAAGCAGGAAAATCTAATACTGACAGGGTGATGTTTAAATTCCTGTCCAGCAGACGAAAGAAAAAATAGTTTTACATGGTTCATCATCTCAGAGACTAAATATGCAGTTAAAAAAAAACAGGTTTCTGTTCCAAAATGTGACACCACCCACACACACTCTCAGATTAAAGCTTCACTGGTGTTGCTTATGCAAAACAGACATTACCATGGTGAAAACAAAATAAATAAATACTTGCTTAATTATCTCCACCATGAAAGCTCAGAGGACAACGTCTAAAAAAAAATCTATGAACAAGGCTGTAGGTCATCTGATCTATGAGTCAGAAGTAAATAAATCCACGCTGGACACAGACGTGCTCAGAGAACTAAAGGGAGCAGAAGCTTGTTACTTTAGCCAAGATGGGGCCCAATAACAGGGGCCGGATCTCCAGCTAGTACATTAAAGGTATACTAAGCAACATTTTCACATCCTTAAATCATTTAGAGTGTGTTAAAATTACCCTTTACAGCTTTAATGAAATGTCACTCAGACCCCCATAGTCCTCTGTGGAAAGAATATCACACTTGCAACTTCAGAGTGTCAGTCCAGTCCCTGTTAGAGTAAAGGCAGTTACACACTAGCATCGGCTCTACTCTGCCTGGACAGGGTTTTCTCCTGCGTGCAATCGGACGCCTTTTCAGCCCACTTCCCGAGGTGGTCTGCCTGGAGTCAAACTGAGACAACACACCCGCTGCCAGCTGATTGGCCAGCTCTAAATCATGGTACCATTAGGGGGAGCCTCTAATTGGCAGAAAGAATCAGACCACAGGTGCTTCTCGCATGCACGATTCATTAGTTTGGATGCAGAGAGAGAGCGAGAGCGCGAGAGAGAGAGAGAGAGAGAGAGAGAGAGAGCGCGCGCGCGCGAGAGAGAGAGAGCGAGAGCGCGCGCGCGCGAGAGAGAGAGAGAGAGCGAGAGCGCGCGCGCGAGAGCGAGAGAGAGAGAGCACACACACACACACAAAATGCTAGCTACATCAGAGACACCGCAGACTTCTCCACGCTTTTTTTGCCCTGCCCACAAGCTTGGAGATGCGCTCATGACATCACAGGCCACAGACCACCCTCGTGCTCAATCACATCTGCATTCCTATGGCAGTGTGGAACAAACGAGGCCAGGCTGGGGTGGGCGAGTGGAGCCTATGCTAATGCGTAAGTGGCTTAAGTAAAGAGGAGGAACACAGCATTTGAGTGATGAACCACCCCTGTAGAAACTAATGAAGGCTCGAGAGACATTTCAGCTGTTAGATTAAGATGTTAAAAAGATCAATGCACAGCGAGGATACGCTGCATTTTTGTTTTCACTAATAGAACACTAGGGGGTGCTAAAAGCAAGCCAAACCTGACAGTTTCATTTGTTTAGGTTCGGTCATGTCAAACGGCGGTCATGTCAAACAGTTAGTTTCATATTAAAAAAAAAACCTAAGAACAAAAACCAGAACTCAATCATTCAGGTAAAAATGAGGACTAAGCCACTGTTTTCAGATCCCATGAACTGGGGTTACCTGTTGCAGGTGGCGTATGGAAGGTGACCTCTGGGCTGTAGGGGCTAAACATGGAGTTCCTGCAGCTACGAACTCTGAAGGCATAGAGGCTGTTCTGGTCAAGTCCTGGCACCACAGCGCTGGATCCATACACTCTGTCTGTGGTCCTCCAAACTCCGTGGTCTTCACCGTCCTCCTGGGATGGGGACTGGCTCGGGCTCCTGAGTCTGATGAAAAAGATCATTTAGATTTATTTTAATAGTTAACCAGCAGCTCTCGTCTTCTGCTACAGCTGATTGAACTCACTTGCGGTACTCAAGCACGTGATGGTCTGTAGGTAGGTGGTCATCAGACAACCTCCAGCAGATGGACGCTTCGTTATAGACTCTGCTGTGGGGCAAGTCGATGATGGGCGGATCAGGGACTGAAGGGAAAAATACAAATGTAAGCGAGAGATGGAAAAACAGACAAGTTATGTGAAATGTTAACGGTTCTGGTTTCTGCCCTTATCACACCAACACCTCAGCTTCAGCCTGGGACTGAAGAAGTGGAATACCAGTCAGTTGTTCTGATCAGGACTTTCCCCTCAGAGACAAGTGGTGAGCATGGATGAGAAGATGTTGCATAATGGAGCTTAAAAGGTTTCCCCAGACTGCCTGGAAGTGTACTTAGCAACAACAAGACCATCAACAGTTCTCACTTCCTCTATTCTACTCGAGCTCCACATTTTTAATCCTTTCTGCTCCAGCCCCGAGATAAGGTTCACTCAGAATCATCAGCTGGTTTTACTTTCATATAAACATTAAGATAGGCAGGTTCTCCGTGACTATTTTCACCTCATGCACAGTTTTCAGCTGGTTTACTCCTCAAATAGAACATGTAAGTATGTGGGTCATATTTAACCCCACAGAAGGGTGACCTCAGTGCAGATGAACTTTGACCTTTAGATTCCTTAGACTAATAAATCTACCAGCATATTTGACCCTGCCTTACAAAGTGTAATTTTATACACAACAAAAGTTTGAGATTCATCTCTCTCTCCGTCCATCATCATCATCATCGTCCATTCAAAAGGTCGGATTTCGTCAAGACTTTCAAAAATACACTTAACATGGAAATACTGCAGCTCCACTCCATGTAGAAGGTTAAAAATAAAACCCCAATAAACATTCTTGCCTTATATTTAACGCACACACACGATTAGCTGTAGCCACAGCTGCCCTGGGGCGCTCTGACGGAAGCAAAACTTCCGACCACCACCACCAACAGGCAAGGAGAGTTAAGTGTCTTGCTCAAAGACACAGTGGCGAGAGCCTGGATCAAACCTACAACCTTCTGATTCCTGGGCAACCTGCTCTACCTCCTACTGGTGCCCCTTTTTAATGGCCATCTGTAATTCAACTGTGGAAAAATAATGATGCACTGATATGGAATTTTTGGGTCGATACCGATATTAAATCCCTGTCATAGCCGATGACCGATATTTGCCGATACCAATATACTAACATTAATGCTTCTAACATCAGCAGATCTTGTATTGAATAAAAATGATAAAAGTTTTATTTACGTTACTGTGTACACACATTTACACCTCTGAGATGATTACAATCACTGACATGACTAAACAAATACACATCACCCCTAATCACCCTCTGAAACAGATAAATGGAAGATGGGAAAAAAATTTGTTGTTAATATCGGCCCGATAGATGTGTCAACTCATTCACTGCCAGCCATTTCCTGATCATAAAAGCCCTTCGCTGCCAGCATCTTTCAGCATTTTTACAGTTTTTGTTTTGTTTTGTTTTTTGTTAAGTCACAGAACGCTGCCCTCTATGATGTCAACGCCAAAAACTACCAAAACAAAGGAGACTCACCTCTTACATCAGGCAGAATCTGCGCGTTTCGAGCATCATCTGTTCCTTCATAATCTGTTGTGGAATTGTGATCGTCAGAAGCTTTTCCCGTTCACTCACTTTTATTTATCTATTTATTTTCAAACACAGCAGCGGCCCAAAACAATATCCTAACACATGGATTTTCTGCTTTCTGATCACGTAACGTGTGACGTACGCGGATAAAGATCGGCTTTAGAACTTTGACGTTTGTTCTCGTGGTTTGGAGGCTCGTTCCGACGACCACACAGTAAAAAAATGTAAATGACGATTTCATTCGTCATTGGCAGTGAATGAGTTAAAAAATGAGTAACATCTGCTGATACCAGTACAGACGGCGATACATCGTGCATCCCTAGTGAAATCAGAAAATTGCCTTTTTTCTACCTAATCTCTGATAAATCCTCTGTTTGCAATCAGGAACTTCAGAGAGAAAATACTGACGAATCACAGTCGCTACGTCCGACATTAAACAGGAGAAACTAAAGGAAAATGCGGATGAGTTTTGAAAAAGGGGAACCCAATAAGGAAAAAGTCTAACATGATTTTAATTGAGTGTAAAACAAACAGGAGAACTCTTGTCTTCCAGTGGGCTCTTTTCCAGAGACTTAGTTTACTGCTGCATCATCTGCCAAGGCTTGAGCTAAATTACTGCAGCACAGAAACGCTTCCACTGCATCTTTCTTTGCTCTGAACAAAAGGCCTGCAGGCGGAACAGATTCAAGCACAAATCATTTAGACTGCAACAGAGCTAAAGCCTTTTTTAGATGAAAATACAAACAAAAAGATCAGAGACATCACTGATTCAATCTAATCAGAGCAGAAAACAACAACAACAACAAAAACACCATCTTAATCTCATGTGACCCTAATGATTTGTTTGATGTGGTCACCAAGGCAACCTTCTGCTGTGGAGCGACAGTTTAGGAACAACGACTTGTGCCAAGAGACGACTTCGTTTAAAGCATCAGCTGCAGATTTCCTCTCATCTCCGTGATAAAGTCTGGAGGCAGAGCTCTCACTCACAAGTATTTATTAGACCCGACCAGCTTCTCATTAAAAAAACACATAAAAATAAAATAAATAAAAATAAAAGGAGCTGCTCTCAGTTTTAAGGATGGCCCGAAACTCAGCTGTCAACGTGTCCAGTTGAGAGAGCTTTCAAATCATCATTGCTGTCTGAAAATAAATCAGATTTATCACACTCGCTCACTCCCGTCTTTGTGTGATTGGAATAAAATCAATTCTCAGACTGATGAAAGAATGACCATCTTTATGATTAAATGGCAAACGGCCTGTATTTGATATAGCGCCTTCTACAGTCATGGAACCCCCCAAGGTGCTTTACAACACAATCAGTCATTCACCCATTCACACACACATTCACACACACATTCACACACTGGTGGGGATGAGCTACATTGTAGCCACAGCTGCCCTGGGGCGCACTGACAGAGGCGAGGCTGCCGAGCACAGGTGCCACCGGTCCCTCCGACCACCACCACCAGCAGGCAACGTGGTTTAAGTGTCTTGCCCAAGGACACAACGGCAGCGACAGACTGAGCAGGGCTCGAACCTGCAACCTTCCGATTACGGGGCGAGCACTTAACTCCTGAGCCACCGTCGCCCCATTAAAATAATTAGTCAAACTGCTGATATTGGCTTTAATTATTTATCGATTACCCCATTTTAAATGTGCATGTTTAAAATAAAGTAAATGGTTCAGTCCTACCAAGTAGCAGATTAAATTATTATTATAGTGGATTATAGACATGCCTGCATCATATTAAAGAGATTAAAATGTCCTGTACTATAATTTATTTGGATATTTTATTTGTTTGCTTAGAGAAGAAGTTTAGAGAAACACGATTCAGCTCATTCCTTCCCTTCTTGATGACCTAAAACCACCTCTGTAAGCTTCAGAGCTACAGGATCTACAAATCAGAAGATCTGTCTCAACCTGCTTACCGCAGCCGACCTCTGACCTTTGAGTACAATTCACAGGGCTGAGCATGTGAGACGCAGCAGATTACAGCCCGCTAATTCTGGCCCTCACGTTTTCAGACACGTCGTTGCAACAAGCCGAGGTTCGATGACTCAAACGTTTTGGTCCCAATTAGAGAAACATTCAGATTCTTTGACTCAAAACCAAAATAAAGCTACTTTACCTCCACCAAAACACATCTCTTTGAGCAGGGTTTCTTCTTTGGACGTGTCGAGCACAAACTCATCAAAGCAGGGGTCAGCAGCGGGGTGAAACGTCTTCAGGGAGTCCGTGGCTATTTGGATTCTAGAAATAAAAATTGGGGTCTTAAAAAGGCCTCGAACAACCAGTCAGAGTCAGGAGGAGGTTTGTTTTGCTTTGTTCCGTTTTGGAAATATTTTTTATATCTTACATAAAAGCAGAAAAATGGATTAAAATCCTAATTTTAAGACAGGAAAACCCTAAACACACCAGAGTTGATGGTGAACAGTTTTCCCAGATTATCTAAAGCTGCTAATGCAGATTAATTAGTCAGCTTAGAGCAGAAATTCACCAACACACAGCTCCAAATGGACACTGCAAACTTCTTTTCTTAGCTGCCCTTGAGTTTAGTTACCACTGTGCATGTGCATGTGTGTGCATGTGTGTGCGCGCACCCCAACACAATCGGATTTAGATCCAATTCATGAAATCTTTAAGGAATTAAATCTAAGGACAAAATATGCACCTTCGATAGGACGGTCTGCGTCTTACTCCTGTAATAAATACGTTTCCTCCAGTTGGTAACCAGACTCGGTTCCGTGTTTGAAATGCGTTTACCTACCGCTCCGCACGGAAGCGGAAAAATAACGTTTAGCGCTCATAACAAGCGGATTCTCAGCGCTCTGCTCATTAAACAGAAGACCTGCAGGCCTCTGTGGGTTAAAACATCCTGATACTGTTCAGGAGTAAACATTTTGCTCCATCCCTGTGTTTGAACTCAGAAGATGCTCCTTGATGCCACAGATATGTGATATTTAGTGTGTTTCTTTATTTTACTCCAGAATAAGATTAAATTATTACAAAAGCAGTTCAATGTAGTTAAATTAGTCATGACGCACGTATGTGTGTGTGTTACACATATAGGAGTGCATGAGACAGCGTGGTTTCATCAAATCCATTCATCTTATTTCTTGGTTCAAGTAACGGCTCAGGAAAATAACTTATATTTCATAAATAATGAAGTCTTATTGTCTATGATAATGTTTTATCTCATCTTTTGTCTGGGAGGTGTAACTTATCATGATACAAGCCTTTTAAAACATATTTAAGTGTTACAAGAGGAGATAAATGCATGAATTAAAAGTTCATATTTGGAGACCAACCTTCACAGTTGAGGCTCACGCTGGTGAGGAGACACCGTTAGTTCTGGTAACACCTGGGCTCCCAAGGCCTGTTCTGACAGGATGGACGTTACGGGACCCTCAAGGATTCCAGTTGGATGATTGGAGGATTATTTAGGAGGATTGGAATGAACAAACTGATTTCAGTGGTGAAGGGTTAAATGAGTGAGTGAACCCACCTTAAGGGTCTCGTAACTCTGCTAACTTTAAAAATCAGCTGCTCTAAATAAGCATGAAGGTCAGAGAGGAGCTCTAGGATGGACACGGATAAAGGAACTGTAATGTAGAGGTAAAGTAGGGCAGGGCCAACGTTAGCAGCTGTCATACGGTCCATCTGAAATGTTTGACTTTCATTTAGTTTGTTATGTGACAGGTTAGAGCACAGTCTCATGTTAGAGTTGTCATGACAACATACCTCACATGCTGATGGCATCTAAAAAATAAATTGTTTTTCTCAAAATAAAGAATAATTTTTATCACAATTGAAACGTACAACAGGCTGCATGGTGGCGCAGTGGTTAGCACTGTTGCCTCGCAGCACGGAGGTCGCAGGTTTGAAACTCGGCTGCGGCCTTTCTGCGTGGAGTTGCGTGTTCTCCCCATGCATGTGTGGGTTTCCTCCAGGTAACCCGGTTTCCCCCACAGATCACAACATGCCCTATAGGTTAGAAACTAAGTCGCTTTGGATAAAAGCGTCTGCTAAGTAAATAAAAACGAACAATCCTAGAAAAACCTCGTCCAATCAATGTGCACATCCTGTTCTCACTAATTGGATAGAAATCCCCCCATCAAAACACACACACACGCGAATTGTGAACTGGCGTGATTTTGCACTCCTTAGATGTAGCCATCGTTACGCTGACAAAAATGTAACCAAGTAACTTTTACTTTGAGTACATTTTATTAACGATACTTTTTACTTTTACTTTATTAAAAATTTAGGGAAGTACTTTTACTTGTACGCGAGCAAAAAATGATCAAAGTATTGGTACTCATACTTAAGTAGGAATTTTAGTACCCTTTCCACCTCTGGTTGTATGCAACCAACAGAGCCGAGGCTCTTTGCATACATCTGCTTTAAAGACGTAAAACTTTCATCTTTAGGAAAAACTCCAAAATAAAAGTCAACATCCTCAAAATTCAACGATCATGTAGGAAAGTCAACATCAGTCTGAGGATAACCTGACGTGAAGCTGCTTCGCAGTTTGTACAAAGCAGGACTGGTCGGTCTCCTTCAGCACTTCCTGGGCGTAGCCCACCAGACCGCTGTTCTCCAGCATGCCCTGGTACTCCTCCACCTAAGGAACGTCTCAGTCAGCGAAGCTCTGATTCACATCTTAAATGTTGTCCATCTAGCTCTGGTTCTGCATGTCGTACCTGGGTTTTCAGGTGATCCAGACGTCTGTTACGAGACTGCTCGATGGACCGCAGCATCTCCGATTTCCTCTCTTGAAGAGTCTCGAACAGACGCTCAAAGTGCTCGTTGGCTTGCCGCTCTGCTTGCTGCCCGTTCTCCTTTAAGAGCAGCATGTAAATTACATGAGTGAAGCAAGCGATGAGAAAGTATTTTTACAACTGCAGGTTCAACATTTTATTTGGAGGAAAAAGCTTTAGTTTGTTTTTAACTAAAGAGTTTTATTGTAGGTTTTAGACCGACAGCCAAGCACCAAATCATTCATTTCCCTTTTCTGTGGTTTGCATCTAGTTTGTTTAGTGACATTAAATTCAAACACAAAAACACAACATTACATCGCTTCACCAGAAAACCAAACCTCCATTTACATAATTCCAAACGATTTACAGCTTTTGAAGCTCATGATTGTGTTACTTTATGAAACACTGACTATATCAAAAGAAAGAATTTGTTTTTCCCTGAAGGTTTTAAGATAAACATCCTAGAAATTTGATGTTTGCTGCAGGACTCCCTTGAAAAAGAGGTTTTAAATCTCAATGGGACTTTGTTTATAAAGATATTTCATAAGGAAATATTTTAAATACCCGTGCACCTTTTTCAAGCTTTTTCTGCACTTTACCATCAATTGTAATCTACATAAACAGTACAGATCGGCCTGAAATGACTAATTCACTTCTTTACCTCAGAAAAGTAAATGTTCTAAAAAAACAGCAGTAATATATCACAATAATGCCGCTCAAACACCGTTAAAACCCACTTTAAATTCAAGCATTTTTAATTCAAGCACTCAGAAGAAACCTGAAAAGATAAACAAGTTTTTTTTCCTCCAAAGAGTGACCCGAATTCAGATCCAATCATGGACGTTTGAATAAAAACACCAATATCTTTAAGTTCTAATCAGGAGAACAGAGCTGCGGCATCGGAGAAACTGTAAGGCATGTTTGCTGCAGTGGGATGACTCAGCGCTCTCACCTCCGTCAGATTGATGAGCCGCTCTAGATCCGTAATCTGAGTCCTGACCCGGTCTTCTTTGCTGATGAGGTAATGGATACTCTTGGCCAGCTTCTCCTGAGGAAAGAGGAGATCAGAACTATTCACAAAAAGCCTCAAACCACCTTAAATCACTCTGGAACCTCCATCCTAAATATTCATTTGAAACACTTCACAGCTCCAACTTTGAACAGTTATCAGACTTGGATTAGATGAATAATTTCCTCCCATCGGACGGAAAAGTGCAGCTCTGAGTGATGAATGGGTGAAATCTTCTGCACAGAAACCGGAACCTTTTTCTGACTGATGGAGGCTTCACCGACCACCAGAACATCAGAGCCAAGGTGAACCACGATCAGGTTTCAAACATTGCGCAAAACAAATGGTTTCATTAAATATTAAAAGGGACCCGTTATTTAGATCCACTCAGACAAGCGCACCAAATGTAACCGATTCCCATTTATCTGCTGAACATTACGTCTATTTGGCGTTCGTTTTAAATTAAATATCACTAAGCGTATTTTGTTTAGGGATGCTCAATATTGGCCTTTTTTCTAATATCCGATATTGTCCAACTCATGATTTCTGATACCGATATAAACCAATACCGATACATGTGGGGTCCCAGTAATGAAAAAAAAAATCATGTAGCCAACATCATATATGTATCATGAATGCAATTCATCAGTGCAAAATGACTTCAAATTTATGTTCGTAAGAGAAAAAAAAATCATGTTTTCATTCGTCTCCAACAGCAGCTGAATTTCATCACCGAATAATGGGAGAATGTCACATTTATAAAGATCTTCATTTAAGAAAATGGCGCCTTGGGTGAAGATTCCTGTTCTAGCTGGTTGCTAGCTGGCTACCTACAAGCAGCAGATCCTCTCTACACAGGGCAAATTCCTAATTAATCACAAGTTTTGCCAAATAAAACTAAAATCTCTAAAACCAAATCTGTCATTTTGAGAAAGGAGATGAAGCCGAAGAGTTTGATGGGTAATATGTGCATGGTATGAAAAGGTTGGGTCACTGAGTAAAAACGGATACCACATTTTGAGGCCAATATCGGCCGATAATATCGGACATCCCTATTATTGTTCTATTTTGTGTGTGTTATGGTAGATGAATGCTACTAGAATAAACTTAAGCAAATAATTTTCTATTTTGGTAACAATTTACAGTAAGGGTCCCTTTATTAGCCCAATTTAGTGCATTATTAAGCACTAATAAACAAAGGGTCCCTTATTAATGTTCTTGGTATTAACTATCAAGTGTCCTTTAGGATAGGACGAAGGGCCGAGGTGGTGGTGGTGGTGGTGGTGGGGGGGGTTGTTTAGCGATGCATTACATTTGTAACGGAATGAAATGACTGTTTTTTCCCCTCCTCTGCACAGGACTAGTCTGCACGAGATATGGTCTCAAGGTCTCATGCATTCCTTCTAACCTGCTTATTTTCAGCTCAACAGAAGAATGAAGAATGAACTCTTTTCTTTTAATTAATCAAAGAACTCTATTTTAATAAAGCTAATCCAACCAAGTGTTAGTCAATAAATAAGATGTGACCGATCTGTAAAATCTAAATATTAATTACTTTATTATAATCCTATAGATTATGAAGGTACTACGACTTTAAATGTTCCTACAGGACTGATTTCACGTAGCTGTAAAAGACACGACACATTACCTTCACTGATCCAATCAGAATCTGACAGATCTGACGGAGGCGTGGTTTTGATGGTGTTGGTAAATCTGTCAACTTTTCATTCGACCAGAAACCAAAACATCCGAAGTATAAAACTATGCCCACGTCATCTCTAACGCCAGTTCAAGCTTTCTAGAGAAGTTGTCGGAGTGGCCATCCGTAACTTTCTTCTTCAACCAAAAGAACCAACAACAAGCTGGAAAATTTGTTGCTGTTCCAACTGCTGCAACGGTTCCCTTCAGAATAAAAGCTGAACCATCAAGACCCAGGTCCGGGTCTCACCAGACGCCAACAAATTGTCGTGACCCAGAAGTATCTCGAGATGGGTGGTTGGTTGCCGTGGCTTCTACAGGCTCCGGCTCCATAAGGTCAAACTGGACTTTTACACCTCCTGATCTGGACTGGGACTTCCGCTCAGGGTATGTAGACCGGCAAATGGCGTTGAATGCGTTTATGAATCTCTTAATCAAAGCTTAATGCGAAGACATCACCTTCAGTTCCCATCAGAACTAATCGCTTCTTCGGATTTGCTGGTTCTGATCAACATCACACGTCATCCATTCAACGTCTCATCCACTTTAGTTACACCATACATTTAGTGCTTAAAGTCAGTCTAGTTTAATTTGTTAGTAATAAAATTCTTAACTTTTAAACTTGACTCTCTTCTGTTGTCTGAGTGAATACGAAGCGGTTATCTAATCCCTGCATTAAAAAGTTCCAATCTTCTGGTTTAAATAACCTCACAGATCCGTAAGGTGGATTTCATATTTCCTATGGAATCCTACGCCTTATGGCTTATTAAATAACATGCAATTTAAATCATTACACATAATATGGTTAAGCAGTTAATAGCTTGTTAATGCACTTAGTAACGTAAAAAGAGACCCTCGTAAAGAGTTACCTATATTTTTGTACTCAAAACATTAAATTTTGTTTAACTTAATTGTACAAGACAAATGGGTTATGGTTATATTTTTTGTATTTGGGTGTCGTGTCCTTGAACCTTTCAGTGGAGGCATACAGCTTGTGCTTTGTCATAAGGTAGTCCCAAGTCTAAAATGGCACCAGTGATTCTTTTCTTTTACTTATTAATTTCACTTGCAGTCGATATGATTACCGAGGTCACCAGCCAGAATCACTATTGAGTCATTTTAAATTCGTTGGTACCGTTCACTTGCATCGTTTTAAGCTAAAAGTACTGCTGGTCACAAAGTTTTCTCCAATTTATCTAACTATGTGGAAATTAGCAACCGACAATTTTCCTTTGGGGTGGAATATCCCTTTAAAGACCAACAGCCTGTACAGGTCAGACATTAATAATGGAACAGGAACAAGAGATTCAGGGACACGTCTGTGCTCGACGACGACATCCCTCCTCTGAACAAAATTTTGATTTTCAGACATAAATCAGAACTGGATCAAACATTTCCACCGACTCATCTTGTGACATTTCATCTCAATAGGTTCTCTTCTGAAACTAGAGATATTTAAAATATCAATAGGTCAAAGGTCCAGACTTGTTGCTTCCTCCTCCAACATGACACTTTAAACACTGTGTGCAAATTCAGATTAACCACAAGCCGGTACTGTGTTACACTCAACAGCTCCAGATAAACGTATCATATTCTTGACTGATTTACCAACTTCTCTGAAACAATCCGTTACCTTTAGGATCTTGTAAGCGCTGCTCATTGACGTGACTTTGTGGTTTGCATGGGAGCCTCCCAGCTTGCACAAGTGACACACTGGTCGTCTGCAGACCTCGCAGTACATGTTCACCTTCTCCATCTCGTGCTCAGGACACATAAGCACCTGGAACAGTTGGGAAAACACACACTTAATAATCCAGGCATAAATTAGATTAGTCTTGGGCACAAATGCTGCAGGCAGCTGCAGACTATACAGTTACATGAGCTGCATCACCTACAGAACCAGGAAGGAGGTGGCAGACGACCAGAAGAATGCGTGCGCATGTTCAGCTCTACAGAAAACATTACTGCATGGGTTTGACACAAAATACTCAAGGATAGCTGAAGAGAAACAGGAAGGAGACCTAAACTCTGAAGGTTCGGAGTATGTGGTCTAAAAATATCCACAAACTCGGCTGTTTTTTAATCCCCTCTTTAAGTCAAGTCAATGGTAAGCTGCTACAAGAAAACAGAAAAGTGCTAAATAAAATTATAAAATCCAAACTGACTTGCTTGTCGCTCAACTAAAGGAACTATTATATGTTTATACCATATAAAGGTCTACATGTCCATAATGAGTTAACTCATAGCCCACTAGAACCGTTTCACTCTGATGTCATCACAAGCCTCTCAATTCAATGGCGGGAATACCAGCAATCGGACTGACTGCTAGTGGGAGTTCTAGTTGTGTTAGAACTCTGGGAGTACAGTAACTAGTCAGTAGTAGTAAAGTAATTTTAGTCTTAGTAGCAAAAACCTCCTGATGCTACTTGCCTTGGGTCTAAAGTTGGTGGTGGGACCGACATACTCGTGTTGGGCTTTGGGCGTTCCCCAGGGATGGTGCAGCTTGAAGCACTCGTTACAGTAGCTAGCCTTGCAGTCCATGCAGCTCTTTGTCGCCTCCTGCTGCTGTGGAGGTTTGCAGATGTTGCACATGATTGCGATGGCGGCACGAGCGGCTTGTCGGTAGCGTTCGACGATGCTCTCCAGGGTGAAGTTGCGGAACAGCATGCTGATGCCGCGCTCACCCAGGTCGATGTCGTGCTGGCAGCCTGGACACGGGATGGTGGTGATCCTGGGAGTCACCGAGCCTCTGCGCCAGCCGGGAGATGAGATCGAGCCTGAAGGAGGTCAAAGGAACATGACTGAATAAAGGTCACCTGCAGGAAAGAGTCAGACCCTCAGGCAGTCACATTTCCAGTCTCATCTGAGGCCCCATTTGGACATGAAAGCAACAGTGTGCTTGAATTACAAAAATCAAGTCTCTGATAAATGTCAACCCCATTTGTGTCCGATTCTGGAGCGAGTTACGTCACCAGCTGTGACCTGCCAAGTATGATCTTGAAAGACTTCACAAAACACGACCTCAGCATGTTTCCCTTTGGGCTTTATTTCCACAAGACAACCACTCAGAGACATGAGTGTATGGGGGAGACCCAGTACAGGCAAAGCAAAGAGCCGTTGTCTTTCATGGAACAAAGTCCAGAAGTAGAAACCATCCAAGAGAAGTGGAAGAACAGCGGGGAGGGATGGGATACGGGGAAGCCATGGAGGACAGCATCCTCTGAGCTTTTGGAAAATGTTGTTCAACGTGGACAACAGGAGTGACGCCTGTTTGAAGTGCACACAATGATCTGGACACAAAATAAAAAACCCATTCTGTTTACCTACAGAATGATTGGGAAAATAAACAAACTTAGTAGAAATTAATCTTTTAAATGAAAAAAATATTTATAAATAATCAAATGTCCAGTTCAATGCATCAACACTTCCATTAAAAAACCTCTTGAAGCAACAGCTGTCCACAAACACACACACACCGATCTTGTTACTGATGCAGCAGCATCACAACAAGGCAGCAACACAACATGAAGACCACATCACAAACAAGTTTACCACACCAAAAGCGTCAAGTTCACACAAAAATATAAATATTGCATCACGTCTTTGGGGGGCGGGGGAAGCGAGGAGTGCTGGATTTATCTCAGTTTGCGAGCCAGAATTGCTGCTCCGTTTCCGAGGACCTGAAAATTAAATCAAACACTCCTCAGATGAGCGAAACACAAGGAGGCCACTTCACATTTCTGCAAAAACACAAAAAGGTGCAGCTGAAGGAAAAGCTGTGAAAGCAACAGGTGAAAGGTGGAGCCACGTGCATGCCAGGTTAAAGAGAAACTGGAAAACTACAGAATCCAAACTGCACATAAGAGCTTTCCCACAAAAATGTGTCTGGTGAGAGATTTATGGTGTGATGTGAAGATGATGATTTAGGATAGAAAAAAATATATATGAAAAATAATTTAAGCCAACTAAATAAAAAAGTCGAAGGTCATTTCTTGTCCTGCACAAAAAAAATATTAAAAATAAAATAAAAAAAACTTTATTCAGACGGCGTTCGCTGACTCAGAATAAAAAGGTGCAAGTAAACAAGATTCAGGCAGGATTAGCCTGCAGCAAAGTGTCTGGGTGAATTTGTGGATCTGCAAAAGGAACCAGAGCGGACAGCTGACTAGGGCCAATCGCTGCAGAGCTGAACCCTTCATTCCTTCTCCGTGAGCTTCAGCTCTAAGATACTAAATACTAAATAATTCTCTTCTACAGACGAGCCTAGTTAAGTTTAGATAAATGAAACATTTTCTTCCACAGATGCTGCCATTGTAGAAAATGTGCATGTTTTTAATCTATGATTTACTGAGACTGGTCTGCTTCGTTGCCATTAACTATTTTGTATTTATTCATATATCAAAATGAAAAAGTATAATTTTACCTCATGCCGCTATTGTTAAACTTCTGTGCATGTGTAACTTGACCTATGCTGGAGCTGTTGTGCAATATGGAGTAACCTTTAGGGATGCACTATAGCAGCATCAATGTCGGTATCAGCCGAAGTTGGTCTTTTTTTTTTAACATATCGATATCGGCCCGATAATTATAACTTGCCTGTTATTAGAAACAGATATTTTATTAAAAACGTGTTTATCCATCTCAGATGGTGAGGGGGGTGATGATGCATAATTGTTCAGTCATTTAACGGTAATAGTAATCATCTCAGAAGCTTAAGTTGGTGTGTGTGTGTGTGTGTGTGTGTGTGTGTGTGTGTGTGTGTGTGTGTGTGTGTGCGTGCAAGAATCTGGTTATGCAAATGCATTAGCAAAAGAGGGGATACGATGAAATGCAATACTAAAAAGGTCAGACAAAACTTTAGACTGAACTTCATTAAAAGCTCAGGTCGGACGTTTCTACAACACATCTGGTGTCATCATGAGATCTTGTTCAGTGAAAAAGACGGTGATAAAACCGCTGTCACCTAGGAGTCAGACTCTAAATTGCATCACACAAAAACAAGCGTTGACATGTAAATCCTCAATTTAAAATCAAGTTAAAAATACACTGCTTTTATACATCGATTCAATATCTAAACACGAAATATCGCCATTTCACAATCAGTGTATTATTTTCTTACATCCCAACCTGATTTACTGTAATACATGTAATTATTGTTTATAACAATGATTTTAATATCAATTTATACATCCCTGATATCTTAATTTACCATTTTACTTTATGCTGCCAACCATGCTATTCTGTCTTAAGATGCCATTTTTGAACCATAAACATTTTTATGCTTAACATGCGCTGTCCTTTTACAAACAGGCAAACCTACCTCAACTTATTTTTATTTAACAGATTTAATGGTTTCCTCACATTGGTTTTACTACATCCAAGGAAAGAAAAACAAATTTTTAAATGCAGCTAAAGATTCTTATTGATGAAAACACTTCCTACAAAACACAAATGTTGCATTAAATGTTAAAACACTTGATTCATGGCAAGCTCGTGTGTGTGTGTGTGTGTGTGTGTGTGTGTGTGTGTGTGTGTGTGTGTGTGTGTGTGTGTGTGTGTGTGTGTGTGTGTGTGTGTGTAACCTGGAGACAACACAAACCTACATTTATCCTCCTAAATAAAAACGCTTTACTCTCCTCTGATTTATGAAGTGAAGTTTATCCTGCATTCCTGTTTCTATTCAACTCCCCGGAGACCTCCACACCAATTCTGATACTTTAAATTCCTTTTTTTCTTTGGCACTAAGAAAATAAAACTGTTCGCAGTCAGAGTTCATCTGTTTTGTGTGTGTTTAACGACTTGGTGAATATTTTAGAGTCATCAGGACCTTTTAGGCGAGTTTGTAAAGTGGAAGTAGAACGTGGAGAAAGAGGCAGAACCAAACTGGGGTTTCACAGGGGTTCTATAGCAACACTGTACTCACTACTACAGATACTCAAAACACGGAGCCCGCGTCTACCTCGACCTCCGCACGACCTTCGCACTGTGGCTGCAAGCAATGAACAGAGAGGTGAGGTGAGACCAACAAGAACAATGAAACGGCATGATGTGGAGTCCAGCCTTGGTGGGATGGAGGCAAAAAGCCAATTTAAGCAACAAAAAGAGAAGAAAAACAAAAGCTCAGAAAACACCACATGAACATTTAAAAGCAGACAGTGTGAACCTTTATATGATTATTATTTTTATCCATCACATCTTATGAACAGGATCGAGCTCAAGAACTTGGAAATTTCAAAACGTCTAATTTTGCCATCACTTCCAACCCCCCCCCCCCCCCCCCCCCCATCCACCCAACAAACAGCCTTGGGTCTTTTCTTTCCCTTCATCCAATCCCTCATTCATTCTTTACAGGCAGGTCGCATCTCCATGGATACCAGATATCTGATCTCCTGGTAGCTGAAGCAGAAAAACAGCTTTGTCCCATTTAGGGGTTTGTGTTCAAAACTCCCAAACGTGCACAATAAATGCGTCCTAAAAAAAAAAAAAAAGAAGGAATTCCACAAGATCCATGCTTAATGGAAACTCTCAAAGAGGAGAACTTTCTCTAGCCAAAAGCAGGACTTGACCATTTCCTGCACTAACAGATAGAGTCCTGTGTGTGAAGAATGAACTCGTTCAAGGCCAGAGAAGCAAACCGAGGGAGTGTTAGTTTTTTGGTAGGACTTAACCCAAAGCTGAAGAACTCATTCATTCATTTATTTACTTCCCCTGAGATACTCCGGGGGTTTCTGTCGCTCTGGCTCTTCGAGTCGGGTCAACGTGGCATCTAGCTTAATAAAACTGTTACTAATTCCAGCTACAGCTTTTTAAATCAAGATTCACATTATACACATTTATTTCAACAGGGAAAAAGTCCAAATCAGGACAAAATTTGAAAGACTGTTTGAAAAAAAATATGAGGTTTCAGCTTCCTTTATTTCTTTTCTAGATCTTCTCCCAGGCTGATCAGGAAAGCGTCGTGGGACAGAAGTAAACCTATAAAATAAATCTTCCCAAGAAGAAAAGTTGGCACTCACACACAGCTGTGGTCCTGAGAATAGCCTGCAGCCCAAAGGAGCTGCCTCGTCTCACACCGTTCTCAAAGCTTGGGCCCAGCAGTGCCACGAGCCGAGCGGTGAACTTACATCGATCCAACTACCTGCAACCCCCAACCAAACGCTCAGACTAAACGTTTAAAAAAGGAGCCTACAGCTGTGCAGACTTCTCTCGTGTGCTCGTAATACTCGGCTGTAAATCTGATTAAAGGTGGATTGGAGGATGATAGCTGTTATTTCTTACTAGACTGGGGGGGATGCTTGACGCCTCGGGGGCGTTTGCAGGAGACAATTAGAGGTTCTTGTCAACAGTTGTTTTGCTTTTTCATGTAGACACAAAAGCTCATCTAGCTCCTCTGCCTGATGGTGCCGGTAAAGAAAAGTGTTGTTAATCTGGGGCAAGAATGAGAGGAGGGGCGCCGTCTGCAGCAGTAAAACACCCCCGTATACAATACTTGGCCTATTTGCGCTCCAAAGCCTGGTCACTCATTTGCATCGGCTGAACATTTGTTTATTAGTTCAAGAGCGTGACAATCTTTTTTTGTTAGTTAATCAAATTATTCCATTGGTTTTTATTTGCAAAATAGTTCCCCTGCACACACATTTCCACAGAAACTGGGTTGGTCCGTTCACACCTGTTGAATGCATAAGAAAGCTACAAAATGAAGACGCAACAGAAATTTTGCATGAGTGGAAGCAAATGAAAAAATTTAATTTTGTTCCGCGTGGCCTGAAAAATGGACATCACTCCCCCGTTCTTCCCTACCTGATCTCACGAGCCGGTCCAGCCTCTCCATGGAGGGCGAGGGCACCCTGGACCTGGGGCTGCCCGGCATGGAGCACTCGGAGCCAGCGTCGAAGGAGTCGTCGTGGTTCAGCATCAGCAGCTCTTTGACGCATTTGTGGCAGATGCTGTGTTGACAGGGCAGGATGAGCGGGTGGGTGAAGAGCTCCTTACAGATGGGGCAGATCAGCTCCCGCTCTATGTTCTTGATCGGAACCTGAAAACAGACACGATCGCTGTCAAAATCACATTTTCTTTAGTTTTTTCATCCAGTTCACAAGAAAAAAAAATATGTTAAATAAAAGTAAATTATTACATGCAGTTGTGTACAGTTAAGTCCTCATTTGTTGAAATTTTGCAGCCAGACTCAAGTTTTTTATTTTTTATTGATCTGGATCAGCAGTTCACCAGAATTTTTCAAAGATTAGGAGGGGTAAGAATCTTTAAATAAAGCAATACTGCAACCGTTTTTACTCCCATAACACAACTAAACAATGCAGGTATAAACTTTCACGGCTAACCTGTAATTTAAGGAGCAACAACATTTCTGTGGCATGCTGGAGGAAAAACAAGCTTTTGTGTCACATTTTAAGACCAAATACTGGCTTTTGTTCACAAAAAACACACTAAACAAGCAGCAATCAGCCAGCATGTCCTTACAATGTTTCTGACTGCATTACATAAGACAGGATTAACTCTAAATACAGAAGACAAAAGAGATTAAATACTAAAAGCTCACGTTCCAACACAAATAAAGACAATAAATTGAGTTTACAGGCCAGTAGAGACTTGATTGTTGATTTAAATCAGGTGGTGTGATTAAAAATTTCCTTATAACAACCTTCCTGCTGCTCTGAGCGCCTCTCTCTGTTAGACTTTAATCAAACAGGAAAATAAGGAAGTTTAAGCACAAAAACGTACTAAAAACAGCAGCCAGAGGCGAGTTACTTCATTAAAACTAAACAGTAAACAAAGGCTGGAACAATGAATGGATGAACAACTTCCCACGGTGACTGGCTGCTGCTCAGAGCAGCTGCAGGCTGTTCAAACAATGACCGAGTCTTCCTCACAACTCCGATTTCCTCCCAAACTTACCGCCATAAGGCTGCTGGGCCGCATCGCTGCGGTGCTCATGATGACGATGGGACGTAAATAGGTTAAAAGCTCCGAGAACGACGTTAAAGTGTCAGCGAGGTTTGTCGGTCGGGCGCGAGGAGGAGATGCCGACAACGGCCGGAGGGGGAATTTAAATAGTGACGCAGCAGCAGCCGGCTGTCCTGATGAATCAGCTGCAGTCAGAGCACACACCCGGATATAAGGCAACACAATGTCTCATGTAATCATGTGAGGCACGTCGCCGTCGTGTGATCGAATTGCTATATATTTTTCTAAATCATTAGTTTATGCGATATAAACAATAGCAAAAATACATTCTTAAACTAAATATCCTAAAAAGCAATGAAACTGAAAAAAGTACAAGTACTTTAAGTACTTAATGACTGTACTTAAAGAGCAAGTCACCCCCAAATAAACTTTTTTTTGCTGATAAACTAAATAAACGAGTGTCTAATTGTGCTGCTGACACGTGCAGTCAATAATTTGGCACTTCAGTGCATCTTAGTTAAAATTTAAATATTCTGCCTAAAATTGGCAGTGTTGTGCCGTTGTCAGGTAAAAAAAACTCTGCACTGTATTTTAATTTAAATCTGCCACCGCTATTGGCTGAGAGGTATGCTATGATGTACTCTGGTACATTATGATGTCACAATGCTGTTGTGAGCCTGTGTGTGTGTGTGTGTGTGTGTGTGTGTGTGTGTGTGTGTGTGCGTGTGTGTGTGTGTATTTGTTAGCAGCTCCTCCTTCTCGGTCTGCCAGGCAACAGCATTTGTTGCATTTTTCAAACATGAAGTGGGAGTGGAGTTAGACTCTGTTAGGGGATGACTTGCTCTTTAAAGTGGCATTGTGTAGTTTCCTGATGACAGGGGCAGTACATACATACATTTCTGGGTAGTATTACACCATATCACCGTGACTGTTGCTAGTCTAAAAAGACATTACACAAATGTTGTTACCTGTGTGGCGGAACGCATGCAAGGCTTTGATGGTATTTTAGTTAATTCTATAGAGCGAAATGCAATGCCGATTGTAGTTTCCTGGCGCTGTAGTTTCCGGATCTGCTCTGGGTCCTGCGCCTGCTGATGATGTCATCATACCAGAATTCAATTCAGAATACATAGCATCTCTTTTTCGATTCTGTTCTTTCATAGACGTTTTGCGAAGTGTTTACCTAAATGAACATCAGTAAGTCGTACACATGGACGTAATTTTCACTTTAGAAGTGGGGGGGACACGGGGGGGGGGGGGGGGTATCTTAGTATGCTCTAATGGGAAACAGGCTTCAACACAAACGGTTGTTTTACGCTTGGTCCTAGAGCTCAACCAGTGTCGATTTAATATAGCGTAATATTGTTTTTGGATGGTAAAAAGTGCAGGGGTCAAAACTTGACTTTGGAAAAAGTGGGGGGGACATGCCCCCCCCCAAAAAAAATTACGTCCATGGTCGTACATCCAGCCAATCATCTGGCGCGACGTCATCTGGATGTGTAGGACCCCGAGCCAGCCAGAAGGAAACATGACATCTAATATAACGTCCCCCAAAGATGCTAGACCCGTGCTCTTTGTACTTAAAACCCACTTTTTATGATCATATGTTACAAAACGGCCATTGTTTCTCAATGACTGGGCATACTTTTATTCATTTTCAGCAACATTTCGATACATATTTCTAGAGACTAAAGGTAAAAATACAAATTGTTACTTTAAAGGTGCAATATGTAGAATTGAAGCAAAAATGGCATTCTGTGGTAAAATTTGGTTACTGCAACCATGTTAAACAACTCTGGAGCTTTTTGCCGGACGTCGTCAAATTACAGTTGCCTGCATTGCAGTATTAGCTCACAGGAGACACGGTAACCCCACACTCACTGATGGTAAACAGTTGTTACATCCCTCCTTCTTTTGTTTTGAAAGGCGAAAAACTGACAATCCCCGCAGCCAGCTGGATATGAATTTTGTTTCAGTATAACCTTCATTTCAAAATGACTGAAACATTAAGATTCTTTTCGGATTTTCTCACTGTCAGATTCTTACTATTTCCTTACACACTGCACCTTCAAAGGTTGACTACGTAACACGAACACCATAGCAACATCTAGTGTGTTGAGGTTGTAGCTGCAACAATACAAAAGGAGGTTTCCAAACGTTGGGATACCAGGTTCGCTGCCAGTATGTGAAGTGACCAGCCAGTACCATGTCCGGTGGCGAATCGTACGGGCTCCTAAGGCTAGGTTGAAGTTGAGAGGGTACAGGGCGTTCTCTGTTGCGGGTTCGAAACTGTGGAACGCACTGCCCCTAACTATTAGGGGCTCTCCATCAGTAGAAGTTTTTAAAATGAGGCTGAAAACCTACTTTTATGATCTGGCTTTTAATTCTGTGGGTTAGCAATTGTTAATGTTTTATATTTTGTGATTCTTATTTGTGGTTTTAATTATGTCTGTGGCGCTATATGTTTTATTGTTTTATTCTTTTGTTGTACAGCATCTTGGTGGCATGCTCATGCCTGTAAGGTGCTTTATAAATAAAGGCTGAGATGAGTTCAGTTGAGGATAAGGACTAATTTTCACTAATATTTTTATTTTACAACAGTATTTAATATTAGAACATCTTCTGGGCTCAAAAGCAGCTGCTTGACTTGTCAAGTTCGTCATTTTCCACAGTGCCAGCCTCGCTGTGCCGAGCAGACTGTTTACCGTATTTGGCAACCTGCAATGCCCTCCGATTGGCTAACTGCAACGCAACTCCACCTCTGACTCCATTTGCTTTGCGGTGTTGATAATTTATCTCCACAAATAACACAAGCCTGGAGGAGTTGCTAATGCTAACAGTTACTTTCTGCTAGTAGAGACGTTCTCTGCTGTGTCCTGGACGCCAAACCAAGAACAGTTCTCCTCGTTGTGAGCCAAGAAGGATGAGTCCATGAATGTGGCGTAGATCTGTCAGGATTTTCTAAACCAAGCGTTTTCTCATCCATTCTCTATCAGAAGCTAATGCAGGAAATAGAAGACTATTTCCATGTTCAGCCTGCATGTAGACTCTGAGTGACTGATCGCTTTCAAAAATATTAAAGTAAAAAAAAGTTTCTCAGTGAACCTGGACTTTAAAGCACTTATCTGTACTTTCCACTCCTCTACGTTTTCTTAAAAGCTTTTAGAAGTGAAAAGTGCTCTATTGTGTTGATGGAGCCCAGCAGCACACTCCCTTGCTTATGCTGGACTGCAGTTACAAAGGTAATAGTAACAAACAATGCAAATGTTAGTTCAATACTTTTACTTTTTTACAAAATTCATACTTTAATACTTTTTACTTCAGTCAGAAACTTCTTGGATATTTCTACTTATTCTCAAGTAATAATTTTACCCCTTTATCTGCACTTTTACTTAAGTAAAAAAAACATCAAATACTTCTTCCAACACTGCTCTAATCACACTCCTTCTAATGGATTAGATCAGTGGTTCCCTACTTATCTACCTCCCAAGAGGGTCACCATAATTTGGTCTGTGAGGTTTTGAGGTTACCAAAATTATATTTGTAAAAGATTACATTAAAAAATCCCAGTGACACATCCATTAGTAAAATCAAAACTGTGTAAGAGTTATAACTCTGTATATATGTACAATTAATCACTTTTAATAGGTAGAAGTTGGGGGTCCTGGCTTGTCTTGGACATAGGCAAGGGGTTCCTCAAGGAAAAACGGTTAGGAACCGCTGGATTAGCTAATCAGCCCTGCCACATCAAATCAACTCGTGCATCTAAATATGGCGAAGCTGATGAAGCACCAGAATAGGGAAGAAAATGGTGTAAGAAAGAGAAAATGTCCACTGGGAGGCAGCTGTTCAGAAGAGACTGGGCAGGCAGATTTGACACGAAAGGCAAGAGAAGCGTGAATAACTTGTTCCAATCAAGGTTTGCAGAATAGCATCTTTATCACAACTGAGATGAAGAGGAACCACAGCAGAGATTGACTGATATGGGTTTTTCCTATTGCTGATACCAATGCTAATATGTGGAGATCATGGCCAGCTAATGAACAATAGAGGCAATTTTTTGGCCTCCTATCTAGACATTTTCTGTCTTTTCCACATGCTAATTTCACTAACAACAACAGTGGATGCACAACATTTCTGAACATCCTTCCTTCCTTATATCATCAACTGCAACATGTTAATAGTTGGGTCACAATTTGGTGTCATCAACAGGAAAGCGTGGATCCATCCTGCCTTGTATCAACCACTCAGACTGCTGCTGGTGTAATGGTGTGGACAAGATATTTGTGACCCACTTTGGACCCCTTCGTAACACCTGATCCTGGTTTAAACACCACCTGAGTATTGTTGCTGACCACGTTCATCCCTTTATGACCACATGGACCCATCTTCTGATGGCTACTTCCAGCAGGATAAAGGACGATGTACCAAAGTTCAAATGATCTCTGGTTTCTTGAAGATGACCATGAGTTCACTGAACTCTAACAACCTGCACAGTCGCCGGATCTCTAACTAAACCAGCACGTACCAATCAAGATGTTCAGCCAACAAATCTACATTAATTATCTGATGCCTTCATGTCACGTTTCCAACACCTTGTTGAATTTGACACCAAGAATCGAGGAAGTTCTGAACAGATGATTTGGGATTTGCTTTCTGCAGCTCATACCAGTTAATAATGGAACTCAGCCGTATGCTAAGTGATGTTTGGAGTGTTGGAAAATCTCACAACATTCTGGTGAAACTCCCCGAAGCACAACTCTGTTGTAGATGTGACAACAAACGATTATCCTTTTCGTTGCATCAGCTCAGTAGCCGGCTGGAAACCAGTCCAGCCTCTATGGGATTGGCTACCTTCTCACAAGATAAGAGGATGAATTATTGTCATTCCTTAAAAGCAAGGAAAACTGTCCAAACAGATGACATCTAGAGCATGCAACCACTATTTGCCTTCAAACCAGCATTCGTTTCTTCTAAATAATTTGCACAGAAGTTTGGAAGGAACTCCATAGTGGCTAGTCCTAACCATGAGAGGCAACTGACCACAGATCATCTGCTTTGGTCTCTTAGTGTAATTACACTTGATCATGGTAAAATTAGAGCACTTTTGTGGGCCGAACCATCTTTTCCAGATCTGTTTTCTCTTCTTTATACTGAATTACCAACCAGATGTATGCGTGGACTTCTTTTTCCTGCTGCTGAATGCAGTACCATCACACAGCCAATCAGATGCCTCCCTGATAGTATTGCTTGACAGATATGTTCCTGCTTGTATTGATGAATCCAATAATCCCCACCAAATACCTCCATCATCGTCCTCTATTGTTTGGAGACACTATATATATATATATATATATATATATATATATATATATATATATATATATATATATATATATATATATATATATATATATACACACACATACATATATATATATATATATATATATACACACACACACATATATATATATATATATATATATATATATATATATATATATACACACACATACATATATATATACACACACACATACATATATATATATATATATATATATATATATATATATATATACATATTATATATTCCAAACACACCCACATCACCCCCGCTTCTCCTCCAGCTTCACTGGCTGCCAGTCAACTTCAGGGTTCCTTTCTTAATCCTGGTTCTGGTCTATAGGGCCTTACATGGACAAGCACCATCTTACATTGGTGATCTTCTTAGTCCCTACACCTCCAGCAGGTCCCTGAGGTCCAGTGATCAAAGCCTACTGGTTGTGCAGCACCAGGCTAAAGACCAAAGGTGACAGATCATTTGCTGCTGTGGCCCCCAGACTCTGGAACTCTCTCCCCCTGAGCCTGAGATCAGTGGACTCAGTGGTCTCCTTTAAAAAGCAGCTGAAGACTCACTTGTTCAAGCTGGCTTTTGTATGACCTTCTTCACCACTCTCTCTTTATTCTGCTCTCCCCTCCTATTCCACCTTCCTCAGGATCCACTGATTTCCCTCTTTCCTATTCACTCTCTCTCTTTCTTAACATTTTTTGTTTTAAATCGCAATTGCTTATTCTTGCTCTTTTTAAATATATTTTTAAACTTTTTCTAAATTCTTTTTTATATTTTTACAATTTTTTTATTTTTTGTTTTTGTGAAGCGCCTCGTGATTTTTATCTTGAGAGGCGCTATAAAAATGATATTTTCTTCTTCTTCTTCTTCTTCTTCTTCTTCGTCTTCTATTGTTTATATGGTTTCCTAGATCCTCCTCTGTCTTTGATCTTCAGAGTTTCTTGTTTCTCTTCAAAAGAACGCGAAGTCTGCCCAGGGAAGACCTGTACATCACTGGATCTTGTTGCTATCGCGCCTAACCTGCAACATGAACGTGTCTTTCAACACTTCTCTCTGGTAGCAGAGTTTGGTTGTTCCCAAAGTTGTTTTTGCCAATTTAATTGTGCACCTGACTGTAATCCAATCCTTGTGCTAATGTAACTTGAGTCATTTTGAAGGCAAATGCTGTTCCCACCAAAAACTGATTCAAAAAAAATTTAAATTGGGATCAATTGGGACTTTTCATTTTTCCATCGAAACATTAGCCTGAAATAGCAAATGAACAGGACAAATGGTTTTAATATAAGTTTTGATTGAAATGATTTGTTTTCCTCAGTTTTTGCTTTAAAAAAATAATAACTAATTTTGCAACAGTTACAGCTAAATTAGCATTCTTCTGTACATTCTTCAGTATATGAGATGAAATTTCACCCTGCTGTGCTTCCAGGAGGATCTCTTCACAAGATGGATTAGTTCCACACCAGATATTCAATTTGCTCCTACAACAGCTCAACAGGATTCAGATCTGGGATGGCTGCTCCATTCGCTCTGACCTGTTCTTTAAATTTGCTGACTCATGCTGGTGGTGTGTTTGGGGTCATTTGTAGAATCAGTGAAGTTGGCTCCAATCACGAAGGTGTAGCGTGGCGTTGGAAAATCTTGTAATTACCTTCCTTCCGCTCTACAAATCTCTAGTTTTAACACATCAAAAGACCCCTAGACCAGCTGCTCCAAAAACTGGCGTGAGGACCCAACTGTGCTTTTTGGGTCTGTGCAGGAAATGGTCCCTATAGGCCATCAGCCTGTGCAGTACAATATCAAAAATAGTTCTAAAAATCAGTTAGTCTCCATTGATGCTGAGGATGGACAGGTGGTGATATCAGGCCTATGCATTTAGAATATAAATATGTAAAAACAGCCTTACAGCAGTTGCACATATTTCCTGTAAATGGCTGCTCCAAATCAGTCGCCTACAGCTTGCTCATTTTTCTTTTTTCTGCCCCGCTTGATGCATGCATGGATAAAGCCGGAGACTGTGCCAGGAGGAGACACATTTCAACACATTCTGCTACCGTGAAAAATGAGTAAGGACTTCATTCCTTTTATAGACAAACACACACAGTCTCACAGCACAGCTGCTCTTCAAAGGGCCCACAGTGACAAAAGTCTGTGATCTGATCCTCCTGCAGGCAAATCTATCTATCTATCTATCTATCTATCTATCTATCTATCTATCTATCTATCTATCTATCTATCTATCTATCTATCTATCTATCTATCTATCTATCTATCTATCTATCTATCTATCTATCTATCTATCTATCTATCTATCTATATAATATAATATAATATAATATAATATAATATAATATGAGGTGTGGGAGCATCCCCGGCCGCGGACAGCCCTGTTGGCTGGTCATGCATCGCCTCTCTCCGGGTCCCCGCTGACAGGCAGCCCGCTGCTGTCAGAGGAACCATAAATCATCCGGATGAGACCCACCTCACCACGCTCGATCCGCTCCACGATGCTTCCGAACTCCGTCATATCCTCGGAGTCTGACATGACTGCAGATGATGATCGGTTCTGAAGACTTGTTTGTCTTGTTGAAAAAAAAATCCAGTTACGACGCCCAGGGATGGGGAAATATGGCTGGAAAACCACAAAATATCAGCTGTTGCTGCGGGAGGAAGAAGAATCCGCAGCGGGGGAGAGGAAGGTGAGATGGCATCAAGAAACTGGAGCTGCTCCCCGGATCGCATCCATCCTCTCTGGTCCCTCCCTCCCTATGCGTAGGCTTCTTTTTTCTCCCAGACAGAAGAATCTACCGTACATGCGCCGGCTGCTGCCGTTTTATTTTAGTTAGCTTCATTCTGGAGAGGGAAACCCCGCCCTCGCCCCAGTGCTGTCTCCCGGAGATGTCTCGGCTCACAGAGCTCTTTGTATCCGCCAGATCCGTCACCAAACAATCAACCCCGGGAGCACATCTCCCACTAGCTAAAATAAAAAATATATAATATTAATAATCCAGTTTTTTAGATTAAACACGGGAAGGAGGTGGGAATGGAGGGAGTGGGGCGTCTCAGATGCGTCAGTGCCATCAAGTTTACGCATGGCAACGCGCACCGGTCGCCCATTCTTAATGATCTGAGCGCATCTTTGTTCTTATTTGTGGTTTTTACATTTAAAAAAGTTTGATTGCGACATTTGAGCAGGCAGATGTGGCTTTATGAGTAAATGTGGACGCGAGAGACATTAAAGTTTCTTTTTTTCTGGTAAGAAATGCAACTGTTCCGCGTCAGCAGATGGCCTCAAGGAATCACGCAGACATTTTCCGTGCTCTCTGTTGAGTGTGTGTGTGTGTGTGTGTGTGTGTGTGTGTGTGTGTGTGTGTGTGTGTGTGTGTGTGTGTGTGTGTGTGTGTGTGTGTGTGTGTGTGTTGGGGCAGACTGCCCTGACTCACAGCAAACGGACCATGACTTAATTAATAACCGGCTCTCCAAATGCTCTCTGTCACTACAATGATCTGACTTCATGGAGCAACGTGCCTCAGGTTTACATAAAAATCAACATTTAGTTGCAATAAGTGACGTAAATGGTCAGCCCTGTTAGAAGAGAGTCACATAACTTTGGCCTCTCAGGAGACTAAACACACAGCTGTCAAGACAGCGGCTGCTGGGCAGCACAGTTGGACAGCTTGTATTTTAAAATGTGTGCTCATTTTAAATCTCTGCAGTGGGGAAAAGGCTCAAAATGACAAAAATGTTCAGTGTCAGATGAGCATCCATCCATTTTCTGACCTATTCATTAAAATCAACAGCTGCAAAATCCCCAAAGATGAGCAAAAAAGGGAAGTTTTAACTTCTTCCAGTAAGTGTCTGCTTCAATAGGCTCATAGGGCCTGATTGGGTGAAGAGGATGGGTCATTCATTCATCTTTGAGGCCTTTGCTGGCAAGCCAGGTGTTGGGACATTGTCCTGCACAAAGAACGTGTGTAGCTGCCGTCAAAGGCAACTCTCGCATTTAAGTTCATTTTATTGGATTTAATGTTGAAACACTTAGTTGAAAGATTGAGATATAATATTTCAATGGTAATTCATGTTCTGTTCATTAGATTTATATGTTTAAATGTTTATTTGTACTAACTGCAATTAGATGGGAACCTTTTCTATAGTTCCGTCCGTTGTTGCTAAGGGGGCATTTTTCTTGGCACACTCAGCAAGCAATTAAGAGATGAGCCACGAGGTTGCACGTCTGCAGTAAGCAAAATAAAAGAGTGCCTTTTTTGGACTACCTCACGGCGTAAGGATTAAAGTTTATTCCCTTTGAGTGTGCCCAATGAGGTAAATGTTTTCTTTTGTTTATTATATTATTATTGTATGTAAATACACTAGTATTGCGTGATATTCTAGTGCAATCACCGCAGTGTGAAGTGTAACGTGTATTTTATTGATCGGTTTGTTGAAATGTTCGTTATATAATGCTTAAGGACTTTATTAAGAATATTCATTTAAGTTTGTATTTCTTTTTTTAGTTCTGACGGCATTGTACCGGCTGTGGTTGGACATCATTACTTGTAATTTCTTTCACAGTTTTCATTGGTTCACTCTATCCCTTGTTTTACCCATCTGTCCTGTACTAGAATGTTTCACCTTTTTGTGTAATTTGTATTGCTTTTATTTTTGAATTGCTTTTATTTTTTATTTATTCACTATATTTGTACTTCTACTGTACCATGTTCAGCGCCTTGGGCTTCCTGATAGGGTTGCGGAAGGCGCTTTATAAATAAAGCTTTGATTGATTGATTGATTGATTGATTGATTGATTGATTGATTGATTGATTGATTGATTGATTGACTTAAGTTTTTGTCTTTGGAAATAAGAAGGGTAGGATGGGGGTTATTGCCCAACTTGGTTCCAGAAGAATAAAGACAAAGACCCTGGTTAGAAGTCTTGGTGTCATAACTGATTCAGACCTGAGCTTCACTGGTCATATCAAGGCTATAACTAGATCAACGTTTTATCATCTTCATTCGTTACCAAGACTCATTGGTCTCATGTCCAGACAAGACCTAGAGAAACTCATTCATGCGTTCATCAACTATTGCAACGGTCTTTTGACTGGTTTTCCCAAAAAAGCTGTGAAGCAACTACAGCTTATTCAGAATGCTGCTGCTAGAGTCTTAACAAGAACCGAGCACATCACTCCTGTTCTTAAATCTCTACACTGGTTACCAGTAAACTACAGAATCCATTTCAAAATGCTTCTACTAGTTTATAAATTCCTCAATGGCATGGGGCCAGAATATATGTTGGACCTCCTTACAGTATATAGAATAGAATAGAATAGAATAGAATAGAATAGAATAGAATAGAATTACAGAATAGCCTTTATTGTCATTGTACAAGGTACAGCGAAATTGGAGTGCCACTCTCTTTGGTGCAAAATGTAAAAGGATACAAGAAAATAATACAGAATATTTTAAATGTAAAATCAACAGTAATATTTACAAATATATACACAGAGTAGAAGCAGAGCTCTCAGATCCTTAGGAATTAGCTGGAAGAACCCGGGTCAGAACCAAACAGGGTGAAGCTGGTTTTGGCTACTATGCTGTGCACAGATGGAATCAGCTTCCTCATGACCTCAAATGTGCCCCAACTCTAGTAACTTACCGCTGAAGTGTAGAAAATGAAAACTTGAGGGCCTCTTAATGATGTAATTACACATAAGAACATTAATGTTGTAGATTTATAACTAATCACACATAAATGTCATGTCCAAACTAGATTTCATCACCCTGAGATATAAAAATAAGTAATTAGTTATGACGTTACATCCAGGAAGCATTAATATCTATTAACAGGTTTTACGGCAGTTCATACCAGGGCCGTGCAGAGACCTTTGACGGGGCGGGTGATTAAAGTAAAAAAAAAAAAGGGGCACTTATAGAGCAATCCATCAAGTTAGAACATTCAGGTAATGAGACCCTTGGGCTCAATCAACATAATAAAAATATATCAATTAGTGTCATTAGTGTTAATGTTAGTTCATAAATAATAGTTTTAGTTTTTAAAGCTGACTTATATCTAGAGATGTTACAACCACATTTTTGCCCCTGATCCAAGTTGTATGATTTTTAATTATCTTCCAATACTGAGTCCTGTCCTGATACCAGGTGGTGATGCAATGCCTTATAAAAGAAGAAAGCAGTTGTCCTTCTGTCTGTATTTGTCGTTTTGTTATTTCAGCCTGAAAAGGTCCCTCATTCAAGAAGTACATTTAACAGGAATCAAGATTCAAGATAATTTATTGCTATTGCACAGGTGCACAACCAAAGACATTTTGCGCCTACTAAAGACAGCTTCAGTAAGAGGTAGTAAAATAAATGTAAAATAATGCACCACAGAAAGTTATCCAGTGTGATTTACAGATGGACTGCTTGGGCTGCATGGTGGCGCAGTGGTTAGCACTGTTGCCTCGCAGCACAAATGTTGCATGTTGGAAACTCGGCTGTGGCCTTTCTGCGTGGAGTTGCGAGTTCTCCCCATGCATGCGTGGGTTTCCTCCGGGTACTCCAGTTTCCCCCACAGATCACAACATGCCCTATAGGTTAAAAATTGTAAGTCGCTTTGGATAAAAGCGTCTGCTAAATAAATAAACAAACAGAAACAGCTACGTTAGCTGAGATCTTTTTCCTGTCAGTAGAAAATTCTTGATCCCATTCCATGATCTCACTGAACTTAACACTAAACATGAGAGCTCTGCTGCCAACCTAACAGCAACGTCCTTTGGGCAAAGGCACCATCATCCCATATGTGGCAGGAGTCTCAGAGAAACTTAGAAAAATCTTCTCCAAACACAACATCCCGGTAAACTTTAAACCCAACACCCTCAGGTTAGAACCTGGTCCATCCAGAAGACAAAACACCCAAACAGAAGCTCAGTGGGGTCGTTTATGCAGTCCAGTGTAGTGAGGACTGTCCAGCAGAGGTTTACATTAGAGAAACCAAACAACGATTACACAAGAACATAACACAACACAGGAGAGCCGCCTCTTCAGGTCAAAACTCTGCAGTCCACCTCCACCTGAAGGACAAGGGACACACCTTTGAAGGTGACCAAGTCCACATTCTGGACAGAGAAGATAGATGAATTGAGAGAGGAGTTAAAGAAGATATCTATGTCAAAACGTGAAAACCCCCACTTTAAATAGGGGCGGGGCTTAGATTTCACCTTTCCAGTACCAATAATGCAGCTGCAGCAGATGCAGAGACATGAGAGACTTCTCCTGAAGTGCTGAAGAAACTCACAACAAAGAACCACAGATGTTGATATTTCTCACTCTAGATTATCCGGGTCATAACTTCGGAATTACTAATCGAATAAAAATAATTCAAACGGTTTCTAAAAGTACATAAAACGGGGTTTCCAACGAGGTATTACATGATGTAATTCATGTTATTTCAAAAATCGCTATTAGTGGGGAAACCAGCTCTGCAGCGTCACAGAAAGAAACGGAGCGAAGCGCGACGGGAGAGCAGAGAACCGAAGGGAGGAGACAGTCTGATCCTCTTCATCAGCAGCTTTTATAAAGTTGTGGAACAAGCCCCCCCCCCCACCCCACCCCACCCCCCACCCCCCCGCACGTGCCAGGTCAGCGTGCACGCGCGCGCGCAACAACCACAAGGAGCCACCATGATAACGGAACGACGTACAACGTGACTCCCGAGTGAGCTCATTTACATATTACTTCTGACGTCACAAAGCGCAGAATCCCTTTATATGCACGTTGTCTAGAAGAG